ATTGAGCCTAAAAATTCTGCTGCTAAGCAACTTTTTACTTTTACTTTTATTTGATTTATATACCGCCCTACTCCCGAAGGACTCAGGGCGGTGAACAGCCAACAATAAAATACATACATACAAAATTTAAAAAGCAGAGATAAAATCAAATTAAATAGTTTGGCCCAGACAAATTTAAAACCCAATCAATTTAAAACAAATTTAAACTTTGACTATTAAAAATACTAAAAAATATTAAAAATATTAAAAATGTTTAAAAAGAGGGAGAAAGTTAGGCCAGGCCCGCCTGGTGAAATAAAAAGGTCTTTAGAGCGCGGCAGAAGGTGCGCAGATCTGGGATCCTCCGTATCTCCGGGGGAAGCTCGTTCCAGATGGTAGGTGCCCCCACAGAGAAGGCCCTCCCCCTGGGGGCCGCCAGTCGACATTGTTTGGCCGACGGCACCCGGAGGAGCCCCTCTCTATGAGAGCGTACCGGCCGGTAGGAGGCTATTGGTGGTAGCAGGCGGTCCCGCAAGTACCCAGGTCAGTTGTTCAGTGAGTTTTGCCTCATTTTACAACCTTTTTTGCCACAATTGCTAAGCGAATCACTGCAGTTGTTAAGTGAATCACGTGGTCATTAAGCAAATCTGCCTTCCCGCATTGACTTTGCTTGTCAGAAGCTGGCTGGGAAGGTCACAAATGGTGATCCCATGACTCTGGGACAGTGGAACTGTCATAAGTACATGCCAGTTGCCAAGTGATCGAATTTTGATCGTGTGACCATGAGGATGCTGCAATGGTTGAAGTGTGAAAACTGGTCATGACACTTTTTTTCAGTACCGTTGTAACTTCGAACAGTAGTCCCTAACTGAACGGTTATAAGTCAAGGACTACTGTAATTATTACTTCCTATTTTGTTAATAAACATCACATTAAGAGGTGAGAAAAAGCATCAATAGGAAATAAACTGGGTAGAATGACTCTGTGGTATGCCTACTTGTTGAGTACAACTTCCTTTACGCTACATAAAAATGTTCTTTCGATAATGTTATCTATTTTTCCAATGAATATTTTTCAAACTGAGTCATAAAGACACATGAGCTGGTTTTTCGATATACTGTAGGTGTTTGTTAGAGTAGGCAGCTTTCATCTTCTCTGCTCTGGCCATGTTCTGAAAACACATTGGTGTTGCCGTTGTGAACACACCAGTCACAGAATCCCATTTACCAAAGCCAAGCCAATCACCCTAAAAGATTGAATACAGATATAAGAGTAAGGGACTTCTGGTCTCAGCTGCAACACACGTAACTCCTCTTAAGATCATAGGCACCCAGAGGCAAGTATGGTAGCCAAAGTCTTAGCAGAAGGCCAAAGTAAGATGGAAAATTCAAGCCCCAGATTTTTGCTCCAGGAAAAATAAAATGTCAATTTTTTTTAAAAAAATTGATTTATATGCCGCCCTTCTTCAGAGACTCAGGGCGGCTTACACTGCGTTAAGCAATAGCCTTCATACTTTTGTATATTTTATACAAAGTCAGCTTATTGCCCCCACAAACTGGGTCCTAAATTTACCTACCTTAGAAAGGATGGAAGGCTGAGTCAACCTTGAGCCTTGGAGAGATTCGAACTTACTTTAATTGCAGACAGCTGGTGTTAAATTACAGTGCTTTAGTCTGCAGAGTTATCCAGGCTCCTAATTTCAAAAAAGGATAATAGTACAGAGAGAGGCTTGATATGCATACTGCCTATGTTTCATCAGTAGCAGAGCACATGATTGACAGACTTTATAAAAATGTTTTGGGGATTCCTTGAACATGTCTGTAATGTTCCCATCACTTATTGTACCGCTAGTTCTCGATTTACAACAATTTGTTTAGTGACTTTTTGAAAACTACAACAGCACTGGAAAAAAGTGACTTATGACCTCACATTTACAAGCACCGCAGATTTCCCACAGTCACATGATCAAAATTCAGATGCTTGGCAACTGGCACGCATTTATGATGGTTGCAGCATCCCTGGGTCACATGATCAGTCACCATTTCCAACCTTCCCAGCTGGCTTCCGATAAGCAAAGTTGGAGTTCCTTAACAACTGCATTATTCACTTACCAACTGTAGTGATTTGCTTAATAACCATGGTGAAATGGGTCATAAAATCGGACATGATTCACTTAACAATTGCCTTGCTTAGCAACAGATATTCTGATCCCAATTGTGGTCGTAAGCAGAGGTGGGTTTCAACAGGTTCTGACCAGTTCTGGAGAACCGGTAGCAGAAATTTTGAGTAGTTCAGAGAACCGGCAAATACCACCTCTGACTGGCCCCGCCCCCATCTATTCTCTGCCTCCCGAGTCCCAGCTGATCGGGAGGAAATGGGGATTTTGCAGTAGCCTTCCCCTGGAGTGGGGAGGGAATGGAGATTTTACAGTATCGTTCCCCTGGAGTGGGGTGGGAATGGAGATTTTACAGTATCGTTCCCCTGGAGTGGGGTGGGAATGGAGATTTTACAGTATCCCCTGCCACGCCCACCAAGCCATGCCACGCCCACCAAGCCATGTCATGCCATGCCCACCAAGCCACACCCACAGGACCGGTAGTAAAAAATTTTAAAACCCACCACTGGTCATAAGTTGAGGGCTACCAATACTGATTTGTTATTTGTTTGTTTTTCTTCCTTGCTCAAGAAAACAGTTATTCCTCAAGAGAGGCAGCCATGCTTCTCTGACAACGGTAGAAGGAGAATTGCCATGATGCAGTTATGTCTTCATTTGAAGTGACCGAGATAGAGAGAGGTCCAGCTACAATAGCAGATGTTTTGAATGAGAACATGTGCAGTGGCATGACTTCGGAGTTCCATACTTCTTTCATCTTTTCGATTTTCCGCAAATTGTTCCAGATTAGGGTGGGAGGGGGAGCCGGGAGGTTAGCTGACGGAGCGTATTTGCAGTAGCTCCTCTCAGTTTTATTTTATTTTATCAATTTTTAGTATTCCTACTGGATCCATTTTTATTTAATTAATATTCTTTGGATGAGATAACAGCAAAACCACAACACAGATAAAGGATTTTTTTTTCCCCCGTAGGACGGATAAGACATGGGAAAAAGAAAGAAAGGCCATGGTACCAGCCCGGTATCCAGGGGTGGGTTCTAATTTTTTTTACTACCGGTTCTGTGGGCGTGGCTTATTTTGTAGGTGTGGCTTGGAGGTCATGTGACTAGGTGGGCGTGGCTAGCTGGTCAGAGTCATTTCTGGAAGGTCCTTGCACTTACGACCAGTACTCGCACTTACGACCCGACTCATTTGTTTGCTTTTAACACTGATCAGCTGTAGGACGGCCCTTTGAAGCCCCGCGGCAAGAGTTTAAACAGTTTTTTTCCCTCTAGTCATCAGCTGGGACTCAGGAGGCAGCAATAGATTGGGGGTGGGACCAAATAAAAGGTAAGAATAATGTGGGGGGTGTGGGGGTGGGAGGGCAGGGGGGGAGAACCGGTTTGGTGATGTCATATCGTCACCGCTACCGGCTCGGCCGAACCGGACCGAACCGGGAGGAACCCACCACTGCCGGTATCTCTCCAGTCTGTGAAAACTGCAAAACAACCAAGAATTGAGGAGCACTTTGCTGGAAAGAAAACTGTAAGTATAAGTAACCCCATCCTTCCACCTCCACCAAATTTGAGATGTTAGAACGGGACCTTGAAAGAGAATTGACAAAACAACAGCTATTAGACTTCCAGATTAGGACAGTGGTTGAGTGCCTTTGGTTCAGACTTCTGGTCAACCTATATCCTTTTTCTTTGCTGTATCTTCTTTTCTTTTTAATTTTCTAAACGTAAATCATTCAGAATAGCTGTGGTGTTGGTGTCACAAATTGAATCATTAATTTGAAAAAAATATTTCTTTATAAAATTGATTGAAGTCTTTGGGGTTGGTTTGTTTGTTACCAGTTTGGGTCACATCCACATTAAACGTGTATAGTTCAGGGTCTCCAACCTTGGCAACTTTAAGACTTGTGGCTTCAACTCCCAGAGTTCCTCAGCCAGTTGGTGGCTGAGGAACTCTGGGAGTTGAAGTCCACAAGTCTTAAAGTTTGCCAAGGTTGGAGACCCCTGAACTAGTTTGAATGCAGGCCTTTGCATTTCCATGACTGGGAAACCAAAGTTCACTATTGATGGCTCAGCGTCATGGCGGCAGATACGATTTTGCAGGAAGGGGATTCAGCTGTGTCAGAACCTGTAACAGTTGCTCTTCGTTCTCAGAATTTTAGTACAGCAGAAGGAAAGCCAGTTACTTCACACTGTTTCCAAGGATTTAGGAGATGAACTCAGAAGCAGTATTGGTGTGTGACTTACACATCCTGTGCTCTGATTAACAACCTAGGTAGTCACTGAATGACTGCATCAGGGAGAGTAGGGGTAAGGGGTCATTAAGTGAGGTGATCGCATGGGCACTTTGCTTAACAGCTCTCATGACTTGTGACCATAATGGGCAGACTCCATTTTGGCCATAACTTGAGGACGGTAGTATGTCATGCTAATATAATTTTATATTAATAGGTGTTACTTTAATATATTCTGACATGGATTAATTTATGATAAGAAATGATAGCTTTAACTTATATTAAATATTCTTCATAGAAATTTGGCTGCTGGTAGTGGAGAACTTCCAAAATGTTTTAATTGCTAAATAGTCAATGGATACCAATTCAATATAATTTACTCCTAGGTAAATGACGTTTTCCCCCAAAATTGAAACCAATGCTGCATATCACCCTTGTTCTTTGGGAGTAACATTGAATATGGTAAGATTTTACTCCGAGTAGACCTTCTCGTCTTTATCTGCGGAGGAAACACTGGCTTCCTGTAGCAATTAGATCAAGAGTGTAGAATTAGGATCTAGGCTTTGTAAGTAGAGGTGTCCCTTTTCTGAGCTCAGGAAGTCGTGATGCAAGGAAAGGGTTGGGTTTGAGGTTTGGAAACCTTTTGTAAAGGCAGCCACTCGCCTGCCCCTGTTTCATTTCCACATCAGCAGTGACGGTTGGCGGAGTGCGGAGGTGCCCAAGCCAAATTGGAGATGCTTGTCAAACCTATTGGAAGGATCTTTGTGGCTCTTGGTGTAATCCTCTTTCTGGGATGCCCAGGACAAGGTAAAAATTTCCGGTGGCTGTTCTTTTCCTAATCTCCTTGATAAGATGTGTTAACAAAGACGAGATTTGCACGGCAATCCTGTACATGTTGATTCAGGAACAGGCATCAGGGAGGTTCAGATGGGCTTACATCCAAAGAAATGAGGACAGAATCGCTCCAAACTCTTGGGCTCTGGCAGATGTTCTTCTCCATGGAGGTTACGCTTAGCAAGTGACAGCCATATCCTTTCTCCAAATAGGAATGTGGAGGCTCATAACTATAGTGGACTGAAGGGTGGCATAGCCATTCCAATATGTTTTTTTTTTTTTTAAAGTGTGTATTCTTCAGACAAAAAAGGCATAATCCCTGAAGCTTAGTAAGTGCAACAAAAATGACTTTGTTAAAGGAAAGCCAACGGAGTCTTGGAGCATTTCTTTCTGATTATGTTGGCGTTTAATATTTCTATTTGTTGTTCTGTCTTTCAACGTTTTCAAGGGCTCTTCTGTTTTTTGAGCAGGATGAGGAAATTGTCTCACCCTTATGGCAGGAGTGCCATAGCAGCTCACCATATTCCACATGGGATCTATAAGGAGCAATGGAGGTGGAGGCCGGGGTGGGGTTTTCCTATTTTTTAAGAAGTTCCATTTTATAGTGGGAAGGTGCTTTAATCATAAACGTTGGGAGCAACACTTGAGTAAAAAAAGTACAATTCCTTGTGCAATTAAAAATATGATTGTCTTAAAGAGGATCTTATTTTCTTGCAGGTAGTAATATATACAATATTAAGGGTATAATAATAAATAATAATAATAATAATAATAATAATAATAATAATAATAATAATAAAAAATTTAATCCACCCAAAATTATAATCTCTGGAAGACTGATTACAGAACTACACAAATTTGGAAGGAATAAAGCATATGCTTTACCATTATAAAAAATATGTGCATACTCTATAATTGTTAACTGTACCTTAAAATATGCTGCATGTGATAAAATACAGGAAAATTAAATTCCAAAAGCAGTTTAATGTGACACTGTTTGAGGGCACTTTTATTTTATATATGTATCCAGAACCAAGAATCTGCTGGACAATCCAATACATGTTTACTCAGATGTCTATGGAGATTCTCAATCATCCAGGTCATAGTTTTCCAACAGGTGCTTTTCTAAAAGGCAAATGGACTTTCTCAATTTTTTTCCTTGAAAGCATTTCGCTTCTCATCCAAGAAGCATTTCAGTTCTGACTAAATGGTAGGGATTATTTTCCCCACCATTCAGTCAGAAATGAAGAAGCTTCTTGGATGAGAAGTGAAACATTTTCAAGGAAAAAACCAAGGAAGTCCAGTTGCCTTTTGGAAAACCACTTTGAGGACATGTTTACTTAGAATTTAATACGATTTACACTGAACTGGCTGCTGCAGTCTAAGTACAAACCAATAAAGCTGTAAAGATTGATCTGCTAGTTATGTGCCAAAGACATTTGTTCTGTGCCAGTTATGCAGAGAAACATTCAAAATGTTAATTGGAAAAGGAAAAAAAAGTTACATCATACATTTTTAGTTCTTGGATATCAGAGCTGCAAAACTCCTTGGGTCTGCTAGATGGCAGCAGTGTGATACAATTTTCTGGTTCATTATTACCATTCTACACCCTCTGGAATTGGCCTGAATTGTGGTGCAATAGACCATATTAGATTAAAAACACAACTCTACATAGCCAGTTAAATATGTCTTCACACTTCCCCTTGTGAGGAAAGACAAACTGACCAGGAACAGGCTTGCGATACAATGGTTATCAAGAATAAAGATGATTTTAAGCCAGTGTTTGCTATTGGCTTACAAATGGTGGTTTGTTTGGGGACTTAATTATAATCCTGAGTATAATGGGAAGTTACACATTAGACTTTTAGGAAGGCAACCATGTTCCCTTGATCACACAGTTTAGAAGGATCTGTTTTATTCCCTGTTTCTTTCTGCTTGGCATCTTTTAAGAAACAACATTAGCAGCTCATTTGGCATCCTAGCAAGATATTTGAAAAGGTAATTATTATTTTTTTTTCTGTTAGAGCATTAGGTTTGTCTTGTGATGCAAAAGGAAATTGGTTTAAGTGTGAAGAAACTGAGGTTTCTGTTCTTTACAAGTTACCACACAGGCTGCTTTTACTGTTCTTTATTCAGAACAAACTTCCACTTTCAGTGAGCTAAATTCCTGCTGGATATCTGAGTACAATTTTCAAAAGCTAAAAGACAAACTACAAATTGTCCAAATATATCATATTTTTTTAACCCCCGTCTCATTTTTTAAAATGCTGATTTTTTGCTCTGCTCAGTCAGAGGTGCTTCTGGACATAGGACAGTGACAATAGTAAGGTCATACTATTTGCAAAAGTACCATCAACACAATCACCCTTAAAAAGTAACCCAGGGAAGGAATTTTGAGGCCATTTGTCCATTAGCGATTTATAGATTACTCAACTATTGTAATTTATATTATCCTGGTGAGATAAAGTCTAGAATTCCTGGTGCTTTCTGAGCTTGGATGCTTGCTTGCACATGACTGATGATGTTATCCAGTTGGGTAATGAAGTCTCTGCAAGAGAACAACTAAGCTCAGAGAGCACCAAGAACTCCACAATTCAACCCTTAGCTATTGATATTCTCTTTTATTGGAGATGAAGTCTGTCTCCAACAGGGATCTGTAACTGCGAGGAAATAGTTGAGTGATGCGACACGATGCTAGAAATCACTAGGTCTAAAGTCACTCAATAAATATTAAGTATGGAAGATTGATTAATGTTGTGGAGGTTGCCTTGTGAAGGGTATGGCTGACTGGCTGAAACCTTGAAGAAAGGCACCCAGTATTAAATATTAACTATGAAAAAGGCTAGCACGCTGTCCAAAATTGTCTCTTTTGTACCAGTCTTATTGATACCTCTGGTAATTCAGAAAGAAATTTCTGATGCAGCAAATCTTTGAGTTACACTTTCACTGTTGAGCGAATTTAATTACGAGTTTATTTAATTGTATATAGTGCAGTATGCAATTAAGCTGGACTACTTGCTGAGCTCTTCCTGTTCTTGTGTTGTCTCTCTCATATATAATATCATAATGTACCATTTTGGATTCAACCCACTCAACTCTGGAGCACAGCTTTGTGTTAATCCAGCACATCTCTCCTCCTCTCTGTCAGTTTTAAAGGCAGGCATAGCCCAACTCTCTTTTGTAACTTGAGGGTAGGACAAGCACCTGAGGGCAGGACAAGAAGCAATGGGTGGAAACTAATCAAGGAGAGAAGCAACTTAGAACTAAGGAGAAATTTCCTGACAGTTAGAACAATTAATCAGTGGAACAACTTCCCTCCAGAAGTTGTGAATGCTCCAACACTGGAAGTTTTAAAGAAGAGGTTGGATAACCATTTGTCTGAAGTGGTGAAGGGTTTCTTGCCTAAGCAGGGGATTGGACTAGAAGACCTCCAAGGTCCCTTCCAACTCTGTTATTCTAATTCTAATAATTCTAATTAAAGCCTACTAAATAATAAAACTTTCTTCAGGTTTACAATTGGGTGCTGCTGAAGAAAGACAAATGATGTAAGATCCTGCAGGTTGGAGGACTCAGTGTCATCCTTTTGGGTTCTTAATCAGCTAGTGTTGATGACAAAAATTATCCTTCATAGCTAGCATAAGAGAGTTTTCTGGCGGTATGGTTGAAGATATGGATTGATTGATAGATTTAATTTAAGAAATCAACTTCCAATGGTTTTCCTTAGTTTTGTTTCACTGACAAGAATGTCTGTGATTCTCAAAAGAATAGGAATATCATTTAACAGTGCAAACTGAAGGAAACGTCACAGAGAGATGCTGTCATACAGTAAAAGCACAGTGAGACTGGGGTAAAAACAGCAATGAAGACTGAACACTGCTAAAAAGTCTGCGCTATAAACAAATAATATTTCTGAGAGAGGAATGAAAGGTTAAGTCTGTAAATTGCTCAGCATGATTTCAAATGCTTCTTTCTGTTCAGAAATAGAAGCAGGAAAAAGCTTCAAGGGAATGTGGTTAATCTAAAAAAAGAAAAAAAGAAAAGAGTTGAAATGATTTCAATGATTTAGTCACTTAAATCATAAAATATCAAGGAAACATCTGCAGTCCCTGTTTCACTACAGATAAGCAGATGTAAGAAGGTACAACCATGTTCCTAATTATCCAAAAGAGGGGTGGCTGGGTGGGGGGCATTAGGGGGAAAGGTTAAGGTCTCTCCAGTCTGGTGCTCCTGAGATGGGAGGTTTGTTTGGAATTATACTTCTGCATGCCTGGTGGACAACAGAATGAAAAAGCTAAATTGTCCTTTTCCCATCATCTCTTTTTCTGCTAAATCTCCCCATCTCCAGAGCTTGGGTTTGTGCTACATCCAGATAGCCTATCCCAACCAAGGCCTTCTATATTACTGAATTCCACCTCACGTCCTCTCCAGGCAAAATGGACTTCTACGGAAGCTCTCTAGAGAAAATTTTTGACTCATATTTATGACGGTTGCAGTGTCCTAGGGTCCTAGGATCACCTTTTGTGGCCTTCTGACAAGCACAATCAAGGGGAAAGCCAGATTCACTTAACGACCATGTTACTAAGTTAACTATTGCAGTGATTCACTTAACATTTGTGGCAAGAAAGATTGTAAAATGGGGCAAAATTAAGTTAGTTCTATCCCATTTTCACATGTAATATTTTTTAAAAAAAAACAACCAGAGAAATATCAGTGCATACCCTTCTAGGCATTTATTTTTTTACAAGAATCATTGCTTGATCGGGAAATGTGCACTTCTACACCCTCAAGCTTTTCATTTCTCAAAATTTGGGAAATAATTGCCTTTAACTCATGCCAGTTTGAAATGGTGACAGACTGCCAGCCTTGCCTCTGCTACAAGATTAGAAATAGAAATTGAAGTCAGCAGACATCCATGGAAACAAATCACTGATAAATAGGTTTATCATCAAAAATAAAGTTTATGAACAGTTGCAGGAGCTGCATATATCTAATCTAATGAAGAGAAGGACTAGAGGTGACATGATAGCAGTGTTCCAATATTTGCGATACTGTCACAAAGAAGAGGAAGACAATCTATTCCTCTGTTGTGGCTCCGTTACCTGAGCCTGTGTCATCGGCAGGAGAGGACTCCGAGAGTGAAGGAGAGGAGTTGGCAAGGCCTCCCTCTCCAGGACCCTCCTCTCTGGCAATGCCTTCGGTGTCCGTCGAAGAGCAAGAGATAGGGCCGGGGCCAAGCATGTCCACGCAGCCACAGATGGACAGTGATGAGGGTAATGAGTATTGGCTGGATCCACACCAGCGTCGCAGAGATAAGCGTGCGCAACAGAAGAAAAGGCGTGCCCGAGATTAGGCTGAATCACTGGACCACACCCCACAGGATATAAAAGGGAGCGTGGTGGCCAGTCAAACCTTGTGATGAACAAAGCTGAAAGCTTCCACGCCATTCTGCATTGCCGGACTTTTGCTATAAGACTTTGCTGGATTATCTCTGGACTTGATTGTAATTATTGAGCTGTTTCTTTTGATATATCAGAAGTGGGGAGAAGTTATCTCTCCTCTTCGTAAATAATAAACTCTTGGCAGGCAGCCACTAGGTTGTTGCTAAGTTCCGTTATCATAAGGAAAAGGATTTTGCCGGCTGGTTTGGTCTTTAACTCTTGAACGTCTGTTGGTGTGTGTGCGTGTGGTTGGGGACAGAACATCCTCAAAGCAACCGAGGGCAGGACAAGAAGTAACGAAAGGAAAGTTATCAAAGAGAGATTCAATCTAAAATTTAAGGAGAAATTTCCTGTCAATGAGAACAATTAATCAGTGGAACCATTTGCCTCCAGAAGCTGTGGGTACTAAATCAGTGAAGGTTTTTAATAAGAGTTCAGACAACCATTTGTCCAGAATGGTATAGGACAGTGATGGCGAACCTTTTCGGCACCGAGTGCCGAAGAGGTCATGCGGAAACATCGCGCGCACATACGTGCGTCAGGGCTGCGCCCCAGAAAAGCCAAACTTCCGGGTTCTAGCGCACATGTGCCCCCGATGATCTGGCTGGCATGCATGCGCAGGCTGATTTTTGACACTGCCACATGCGCGAAGGGATTACACTCTGGAAAAGCCGAACTTCCGGGTTCTAATGTGCATGCGTGCCCGACGATCAGGTGGCCGGCGTGCATGTGCAGGCCGGTTTTTGGCACGGCCGTGCACACGAAGGATAGCTGATCGTTGTGCGCGCATGCACGCCAGAAACCCAAAAGACAAACAGGCAAGGCCGCAAGTACCGGGCGACACGGCTTTGTGTGCCACTTTGGGCACGCGGGCCATAGGTTTGCCATCACGGGTATAGGATATTCTGCTTGGGCAGGGGATTGGACTAGAAGACTTCCAACATCCCTTCCAACTCTGTTATTCTGTATTCTGTAAGCCGTTACAAAAGAATTCCAGTGACATTTATAGTGACATCAAGGTTTCAATCAGTGTGGATATCTTTGTGGTACAAATGGCTTAACCCAAGTTGATTTTTGGGAGGGATGATTTTTTCACCCATACTTTGTTTTGGTAACAGGCTAGATTTCTGAGCTTGTGAGAATCATCTCTTTGCCCTGAGCTAGTTCAGAATTAGCAACAGTAAAAATCCCCTCTTGTTCCACAGGACGGGACACTTGACATCTGCATACTGCAAAGTCATAAATGAGCTTTGTAATTTCTCTTACAAGATCTGAAGCTGAATAAATGAAGAAACAAACAAACGAATGATAGCTTTGCAGTGTGTCAATTACACCACAGCTAAATTGTACATTGGCACGACCCTCCAATTCTGCTCTTGTGGGAACATAAATACCAGGAACTTTTTTCAACCTATCCCAGAAGTCTCACGAAGTTCATTCATACTGGAAGTTGCAGAAATTCACATTCTGAAACTTTGAAAATGATTCCTCTCCATTGACGTGGGGATTCCTGATTGCGTACCTTTTTTTAATTGTTTTTTTTATTTTTAAAACACAAACAAACATACAACGTAAATACATGTAAAAACACATACATATACATTAATACAATACACACACAAAAAAGAAAAAAGAAGTCTATCGACTAGCTCCTAAGGAGCTATCGCATCGGTCGTTGTTTTCTAATTTACCTGTTATTTCTTTATTTAGAAGTTTGCATTTCTGCTTGTTTGTACCTTAACGTAATTATGCGTTTCTAAGTATAGCTTTCTGCAAATCGTACTAACTATTCATAAATACCATCCTACAGTTTCCCTCATGTGCCAATTTTTGTACTCTTATTTAAGTTTTCCTAGCATCTTAATTTACTGGCTCTATCTTTCCCTCCAGCCATGAGTACCATCTTCGCCAAACTATATAATAATCGGTATCTTCTTTCTCTTGGACCTCTTTAGTGAGTCTATCCATTTCTGCACATTCGGTTATTTTTGCAATTATTTTTGCTTCTGTTGGTAGTAGTTCAGATTTCCAATTTTGGGCGTACAATATGCGTGCCACTGTCAAGATGTGAATAATAAGGTATTTTATCTCTTTAGTATGTTGTGGTGTGGTCATTCCAAATAGAAAAAATTCCGGTTTCATTTTGACTTTTTGCTTAGTTATTTCTTCAATCATTCTCTTAATTTCTTGCCAGTAGTGTTGCGCCTTTCTACAAGACCACCAGAGATGGTAGTATGACCCCTCCTGATTGCGTGCCTAGATGCGCAGTGAACTTAAGTAGGGGAGATGATTGTCTCAGCCATGTCATGGAAACTCAGTTATCTATGTTGTGGTGAGAGAAAGGAAATGGGTTTTTATATCAAGGTCAGCTAGATCTGTTAAAGAGTTTGAAAAGAATGATGTTTGCAGCTTTCTTTAACATGGTGCTTGCTAGCGATGTTACTTCAACACATATGAAAAGCATCTGGTTTGGAAGGTGGACTAAAAACTAATATATCCTCCTATCCCAACCTGCACACTATTTGCTAGAACATCTGATATAATTGTATTTCATGACCTAATCAGTTTCAGATGGCCTTCCTTTGCTCAGTACACTCATCCCAAATGCCTTACAATTCCTCTTTGGAATGCTGCAAATTTTTTGAGTCTGGTTCTGTTTGCCTGTGTCCTGTGAACTTACTATGCTATATTTTAGGGCTGAAATATTTTTAAAATTATCAACAGTGTTAAGGGTTATGTGGTACAACATGCGTTTGTACTTGACAGTTCTAGAATGGTAAGTATTATGTTTGGGTGCTCGCTATCCATTTCCCATTTAGTGTATCAAGGGCTTTTATGACAAACCATCATTACGTAGCCTTTCCCAGTTTTGTGCCCACCAGATGCCTCTAGATCAGGGATGTCAAAATTCAAGGCACGGGGGATGGATCCAGCCTGCGGGGTACTTAGATCTGGATCACAGGGCTGCCCTGGAAACAGCAAAGGACCGGACTGTGGTGCCTCTGCCAGCAAAAAGGGCCCTCCCAAGCGCCATTTTTGCTGGCAGAGGGTTGCAGGATGCTGTCGCAGCTGAAAACGGAGCTTGGGAGCCTGTTTTCGCTGGTAGAGCACTTGGGCCACCACAGGAACCCTGGACATGAGTGACGTCAAGCTGGCCATGCCCACAATGGCTATGCCCACAATGCCCCCCCTCGAGGTCAAACACAACCCTGATGAGGCCCTCAATGAAATCGAGTGTCACCCCTGACCTAGATTTAAGTTTTGAGAATTTTGAATGAATGTAGCCAATGGAAATTTAGGAATATTTTCCCACTCATCTGGAACCCAACAGTGTGGAGAAAACTGCTTATTTATTACTTGTAAATTTATTTCAGTTTATACCTTTATATCAGCTTTTTTTCCAATAAGGTACTGAAGCCAGTAATCTATAAAAATGGAACAAAATTTTTGTTTAGGTTTATTGTTCCTCATTAGTCTCTCTTGACTAAGATGTTTTAAAATGTAAACTTGGCAAGAGTTTTCTTGTGAAAGGAAAACCATTTTGACTTGGTTATTTGAGGGACTGCGTATCTCTGATCATTTCTGCCTGTCCCATAAGATTGGGCAATGGGGTGTTCCCTTCAATCAAATAGTGCCATCTATTGGGACCCAGGAAGTAGCATCTCCCCAGGGATTTCTCTGCCTCCTAGCCTGACATTGTTCAAAAAAGCACTAAAAACCCACCTGATTCCCCAGAACCTGGAGAAAGGTGGCTCCAGCTCCTCTGGAATTTTTATTTAATTAACTATTCCTTTTTTTCCTGACATGCACAATTGTTTTCACCTTTTTTATTGGTTTCCTTGCTTTTCAAATGGCAAGCCACCTAGGTCCTACGACCTGATGGCGAACCTATGGCACGCGTGCCAGAAGTGGCATGCAGAACCATCTCTCCAGGCATACCAGCTGTCACCCGTTGCTGTTCTGGGATCCAGCGCACATGTGCTTGTCATGTCTTCGCACGAGGAGGAGTGCTAGAAACCGGAAGAGCAGCTTCATGGCGCATATGTGCTTGCCGGGAAGCTAAGCTACTGGTTTCTGGTGCGCATATGTGCCAGAAACCGGAAGACTAGGTGACCAGTGTGTGCATGTGCGCCGGGGAACTGCTCTTCTGGTTTCCAACGCTCCCGTGCACCCCCGTTTCGGCACTTGGTGCTGAAAAGGTTCGCCAACACTGTCCTAGGGTCTTGGCGGCCTCTAAATTGATTGATTGAATAAACAAAACAAACAAAGGAAATCTCAAGCCTGTCCTTTAGTTTTGACAAAGAGTATTATGGTTTATAGAGTTTGATGTTGTTATTTTTGCGGAGTATGATGTTTGTATTGAACCGGCAATGCTATTCCAATACAAACATTACAAAGTGATCGTAGTAATATTTAATAACCTTGATTTCAACACATATATCATTTTTTAATCAGGAGCTCCTCAAACAGGCCGGTGTAAACCTGATGCCAATTCTGCCAACTGCATTGAAGAAAAGGGGCCAATGCCGGATGAGAATACAAAGAACCTCTTTGAAGGAAACCCCACACAGTAAGATAAAATAAACGTTCACAGTTGTCCCTTAAGCATCTTGAAAATGGTCTAACCAACCAAAATCACCTTGTGATGAGATGGGTGGTAGCAGTGGTGGGTTTCACTTACCTTTGCTACCAGTTCGCATGCGCAGAGTATATTTGATGACCATCTGGGTGGGTGGGCGGAGCCTCCCGCACCGCTACTACCAGTTTGCCTGAACCGGGGCAGACCGGTAGCAACCCACCACTGGGTGGCAGATAAATTTATAAATAAATAAATAATTTGTGCTATTTACAGGGCCATTATGCAAATCATATATTTATTACATAATAAAAGACATATATTCATATATTTCTGTTTTTCATCCTGGTTTGCCTTTATACTGCCTAAAGTTGCCTTGGTGATTGAGGCAGCTAACTACTTGAAATAAATAAAACCCATCAATTAACACTGCCGGCAGTGATGTTACAAAATAACATTATCTTTAGCAATATATAAATTGGTATCATGCAAGTTGTAAGTTGATCTGTATCTTTATAACCTGAACTTTAAAAATAGAGGTAGTCCTTGACTTATGACTGGAACTTGAGCTTGGGAATTATGGTCATAAGTCATGATGGTTGTAAAACGGGTCACCAGTTACGACTTTTTCGCACCGATCATTAAGCAAACACTGTAGTCATTAAATGAAGCCATTTTTTTTTTGCTATGGGCCAGCTTTTCCAGAAACTAGAAGTAAAAGCTGACAAAAAAGCATGATATATTGTGGTCACATGACTGTGTCACGTAACTCCAAAATGCAGTCATGTGACCACAAGCGGGAAGTTGATGCTGTCGCTTTGAAATAGGGTTGCAAGTAGCTTTTCAAGGGTCCATTGTAACTTCAAACGGTTGCTAAGTGATAGGGTCACAAGTCAAGAACTACCTTTACCTGTGAATCAATCTTCCCCCCCCCCCGCCTTTGCCGACAGTATCTTTTTAACAAATTGGCCAAAGCTTTGTTTTTTTCCTAATCAGGAAAAGCCATGTGAGAGACACAGGATTCCAGCCCACCAATGCAAGCACATCTCATCGAAAGGTGGAAACTAGATGAAGTATCTGGCTCTCAATGAGGCCCATCTGCATTAGAGGGCTAGAAGCTGCTATCTCTCGTGTGGCTTTTGCTTCAAGGAAGGGTGAAACTGTCTCGTTTCTCATGTGGTTGAATTCCGATTTATCTCGTGTGTAATCTATTTTACAGCAACACCTCTCCATAATTACAAAGAATAGGTTGTCTTATTACATTTTTAGTCTTTTTTTTCTCCCTCATGCTTTTGGAGCGGATGCTTTGATTTAACCCCTTATTTCAAGGTATAGTTTTAAAAATTAGATTTGCTCTGTTTTCATTGGTTCCCTCATTCCTTACTTTAACATTTTAGTTGGCAAGCTCTGAATGGTAGGGAGGGAACCAGAAAACCTTGGGGGTATGTGTGTTGTTTATGAAAGTTTGTGCAGTTAATATTTTATGTATAAAATATAAAGGATGTATGTGTGCTTTTGTTACAAAGCAGTGTGAGCTTAGTCTTGTTTATCTGAATCAGCCTTTGACCATACCGTCTGGGGATTATGAAAATCAAATATTCAACTAATAGCTAATAGTAATAACTAATTGGGCAGTGATGGCTAACCTTTTTGTCGTGTGCCGAAAGCGTGGGCATGCCAGCGTGTCCGCAGCCGTAATGCAATATGCACGTGACCCTGTGTGTGCCCCGCCCCCACGCATGCACATGACCCCCCACGCATGTGCATGTGTCCCCCACACACTCCCACCACCCCCTGCATGCACCCTACCCACCCGCAGAGACCCAAAGAGCAGCTGGCTGGCGGGAGGCGCAAACACATGCGTGGTGGAGCTGGGCTGGGGCGATGGCTGGCGTGCCTGCAGAGAGGGCTCTGGGTGCCACCTGTGGCACGTGTGCCATAGGTTCACCATCAGAAAATCTAAACACTGTAGCTAAGACTTAATGATTGTTTTTTAAAATATGTATTTTCAGAGAGATACTTCAAGACCAACCCAGTACTTTGCCGTTTTCTGGAGATGAAGAAGGATCTGGCAACGAAGCTGACCCCGAGACAGGATCGGGCTTTGAGTACGATCTAGAAGAGCCCGATGTGTCTGTGAACCAACCAAATGTGAATCTGAAGCTTAAACTATCAAGTGAAGACTTATTTCCTGAAACCATGAAAACATTTGATGAACGCAAACTGTGATTTCTCTTATGGCTCAATGTGATCTTTCTGTTTACATTATCATAGGTTTTGATGAAATGTATACCCTAGACCAGGCATATGTGTTATAAAAATATTACAGCTAACCATGTATATCTTAAAATGTCTAGTGCTTTTCTTTGATAAAATCTATTGTTTGTAAACTGAAAAAAACAAAAAACAAACAAAAAAAAAAACCCCCAAAACAGTTAAACTAAATTCAATATAATCATGCAGGAATCAATCATACTAAGAAATGGAATGCTAGACAAACTCTTTTCATGTCAACATCTCATTTCTATGGTTATACAGGTAGTCCTCAACTTACAATCATTTGTTTAGTGACCGTTCAAAGTGACAATGGCCCTGAAAAATGGGGATGATGGCTGTTTTTTACACTTACCACCATTGCAGCATCCTCACAGTCACGTGATCAAAATTCGGACACTTGGCAACTGGCATGTATTTATGACAGTTGCACTGTTCCAGGATCATGCAATCACTTTTTGCGACTTTCTGACAAGCAAAGTCAATGGGGAAACCAGATTCATGCAACGACGTTCCTAACTTAACAACTGTAGTGATTCGCTTAACAATTGTGGCAAGAAAGGTCGTAAAATGGGACAAGATTCACGTAATGACTGCCTTGCTTAGCAATGGAAATTTATGGCTCAATTGTGTAGGTTGAGGACTACTTGTAATGTAGGAATAGATCAGTTCCCAGGGGAAATAAAACAGGAAGGTGCCATATCATTTTGGAATATTCTGAGACTTTTCTTTTGTGCGTGCAAGAAACTTGCCAAAAGCAATGCAAGAACTTATTTACGTACTATCTCTAGAAATACGAAGGGCCATAAAAAAACACGGTGTTTCTGGTTTTTCCTCCCATCCCCTATATAGGGGTTGTTCCAAATTTTCACAACTCTTTTAACTTTTCCAAGGAGAAGCACCTTTCTCATTTCTACTACTGCAGGTAGCTTTCTAATCTGGGTGGATATGGTGCAGTCAAAATAATTTTCAAAAACAGGAGGAAATAAGCAGGAGTTGGGGTGCTTGCATTGCTTTTAAGAAAGAGAGAAGCAGCAGCTTTCTAATTTACAAAACAATAGCATTGCCTTCCTTCAAAGAACCACACGGCTTTAAAATGCATTCATGCCTTGTGCTATTTTGTTACATTGTAATTCGCCCTTATATTTACAAATTTGATATAATTCGTATTTTATTTCTTCATTGCATAGTGCTTGTTTTGCAACCCTTTCAGCCACTTGATAAGCATTTTCTTATGCCCGCAATTATTCAGCTACATTTCTATTAAAATCTAATGCAACTAAGGGCTCTTATTTATTTCTTAAATATTATTTATTAATCAGAAGTATTATCCTACCTTATGACTCTCAATGGCTAATTAAAAATTATTACTACTCTTATTGCTTTATATGTACACTGAGAGCTTCTGCACCAGAGAAGAATTCCTTGTGTACCTAATCACACTTGGCCAAATAAAATATTCCATTCCACTCCATTCCATTCCATTCTATTCCAAGAACAATAACTTAATCAAAAATATTTTTTTAAATTTTAAATTTTAATTTTTACAGAATACATGGCCAAAATAATACATGGTGTCAACACTCAAATGTCATCTGGAAACCAACTGAAATAGTAGATGAAAACAGTATTGTTGAAATTTTAACATGCCATTCAGCATAGAAAATCTAAGATGTGAAAGCCATTAAAACGATCATCAAGTCAGAGAACAAAATGCATATGAAATAATATTTAAAGAAGCACAACTTGTATGCATGAAATCATTTGGCAGTTTACCAGAAACAAATCTGCAATAATGTTTGTGGTAGGGGTGGAAGTCAGTGCTGGACCATGTCTGGGACGTAGTAAACCATTTCATGTTCTGGATGATGTATTTCTGGTAAATACATCTGGAACCAATTGAGAATGGCCAGACTGGTAAATTCCAGAGAAAAATACAATTGCATAAGACCTCAGGGTGTTTGATCCTATGAACATTTGCACATATCTAAATTGTATTTTGGACATAGGTAACTAAGGGACACTGTGGTTCAGTGGCTAAGACGCTGAGCTTGTCGATCGAAAGGTCGGCAGTTCAGTGGTTCGAATCCCTAGTGCTGTGTAACAGAGTGAGTTCCCGTTCCTTGTCCCAGCTTCTGCCAACCTAGCAGTTCGAAAGCACGTAAAAAATGTAAGTAGAAAAATAGGGACCACCTTTGGTGGGAAGGTAACGTTCCATGCGCCTTTGGCGTTTAGTCATGCAGGCCATATGACCAGAGAGATGTCTTCCAACAGCCTGGCTTTTTGGCTTTGAAACAGAGATGAGCACTGCCCCCTAGAGTCAGAAACGACTAGCACATATGTGCGAGGGGAACCTTTACCTTTAAGTTAAGGTAACTTATATAGAATAAGTTAAGGTAACTTATTCTATATTCTAACTTCTGATATATGAGTTGTCTTGGACATCTCTTAGTCTCATTTAAGTGTGAGAATGTGGACAGCTAGGAAGCTTTGGGACATTTTTCCTTTCTCTCTAGGAAGAAGGAAAGAGCGAAGCACTTCTGAAAATGTTTGCCAAGAAAATGGGGCGGGTTTATCCATGAAAGGCAGTCCCTGGTTCAAAGAACATGAAATTTAAGAACAATCCCTAGATAGAAATGGGTTGCCTATTACTAAAAATGGTGGATGGCGGTAAAACATTGAAGCAGCACAATGCTTTCAGGAACTGCTGAAGTTAGGCTTTTTAAATATACAACCGGTTTTCAGCGGTTTATTATTTATTTATTTATTTATTTATTTATTAGTTCAATTTATATGCTGCCCTTCTCCGAAGACTCAGAGCGGCTTACAATGCACTTATAGCAATAGCCTTCATTCTTTTGTATATACCTGCTTATTTGGGCTTTTGGCCCCCCCATAAGCAGTGTTTCTACAAAGTCATCTTATTGCCCCCACAATCTGGGTCCTCAATTTACCTACCTCGGAAGGATGGAAGGCTGAGTCAACCTTGAGCCTGGTGAGATTTGAACTCGCACTAATTGCAGGCAGCTGGCAGCTAAGTGCTATATAACAGCACTTAGTCCGCTGCACCACCAAGGCTCTATAAAAAGGTTGTAAAAAAATGCTTTTAAAAGCCTCTGATGATCCCAGCTAAGCCGCGCCATCATCAGAGGCTTTTTTTTTAACTTTTAAAAGCATTTTTTCGGCCGAAGAGGTTGTAGAAAAAATCCTTTTAAAAGTAAAAAAAAACAGCCTCTGAGGATCGCGCGGATCAGCTGGGCATGGGGTGGTGGTGCAGGGATTTTTGCTACTGGTTCTCCGAACCACCTGCCACCATCGCTACCGGATTGGGTGATCCGGTCTGAACCATAGCTCATAGGCAGAGGACACCGTCTGCCATTTTACTAATAGGCACATTTGTAGGTGCAAGTTCAGACTTACATACAAATTTAAGTTAGGAACAGAACTCATTGTTAGCCCACTTGTTTTTTAATTGCCAGGAATCAAGTCTAAATCAAAGGTAATAAAAAAGTAAAACAGTAGATCATAAAACTTAGAAACTGGATGTTTCTCTTGGTTTCCATTGAGTCACTGGGAATTGGGCAGCATATAAGTTTAATAAATTATTATCAACAAAATACACAGGGGCACCAGCCATTCTAGCCAAGGTTCAGAGAAAAGACAGCCCCACTTAATGGTTCAGCCCCTATAGGAGACACCTCTTCATAGAAGACACCTCTGTACAATACATTTGATACACACACACCTCTCTGTATTCTTGGCTATAGCATTTTCATTTTACATTTCCATTTTAAAACTGATTTTGCCCTATTGGGGAGCCATCAAGAAAACCTGATGCCTCTACTTCCCTACACATTGGAACCATCCTGACAGAACCAGGATAATAATTACCTGATGACAATGGGAATTCCAGAAGGTAGGGCCAGAGTGCAACTGCCCATTCCTAGTTTTACCAACTATAACTACTTCCCTGATAATGCAGGTAAATGTATAACTATTAATGACACTCCCAAAGGTGCTTTTTCAAGAGGCAGCTGGACTTTCTGGTTTTTCTTTGACGATGTTTCGCTTCTCATCCAAGAAGCTTCTTCTTCTTGAAAAAGCACCTTTGGGACAACCATGACCTGGATGACTGAAAATCTCCATAGACATCTATTAATGACACCCAAAGCCATATTTTCCACTACTTTGTCAAACCTATTTTAAAAATTGTACCTATCACTACATCTTCTGAAAGTAAACCCCATAATTATGTTCTGTATGAAATACTTCCATTGATTTGTCTGGAATCTCCCAACATTCAACTCAAAGGATGATCCAGAGCCTGCCTGGTATGTTCAGAGAGGAAGTGAACTCAACAATTTAACACTGACTAGGTGAGATGCACATTTCCTCCTATCCGATGCTAAAGTGGCCAGGTACCAAAGTGCACTTGGGACTGCTGTCTCAAATATATTTCCAGGGTAAAGATCTTCAATCCTCAAAGATTTCAATGCAAACCCTTTTCTTCCGCTTCTACAATGTTGTTAGACCCAAAAGAATAGCTCACATTCAGGGCACTCGGGGTGGGGCCTATCTAACTCAAAAAGTCCCTGTTTCTGTCACCGAACCAGGTGAAAACAACACATCTGCTAGTGATGTCAAAAAACAAATGCTTTCCCCCTACCTGAAAATCTCTGCATGTCAGCAAATTAATCGCGCCCACCCCCATGACAGTATCAATTATAGTACAGGTAGTCCTTGACTTACCACCACTGAGTCCAAAACTTCCATTGCTAAGCAAGACAGTTGTGAGTTTTGACTCATTTTATGACATTAAGCAAATCAATGCAGTTACATCAGTAACACGGTTAAGTGAATCTGACTTCCCGGTCAACTTTGCTTGTCAGAGGGTCACAAAAAGCGATCATATGATCTTGGGACATTGCAACCATCCTAAATACATGCCAGTCACCAAGCATCTGAATTTTGATCACACGACCCCGTGTGAAAAATATCATAAGTAACTTTTTTTTAGTGCCGTGGTACCTTTGAACGGTCACTAAACAAATTGTTGTACGTCACGGACTACCCGTATTTGAGGATTGTAAAATAGAAGGAATATGAAATCTAGAAGAGCCTGGTAGCCCCTTTTCCAGCTAACAAATTTCATTTTTAATTATTTATCAAACTTGTATACTGCCCATCTCGCCAAAGCTAGGTGGCTCAGTGCTTGTCGATCAGAAAGGTCAGCAGTTCGGCGGTCCAAATCCCTAGTACAGGTCTCCGGCGTGAGCAGGGGGTTGGACTAGATGACCTCCAAGGTCCCTTCCAACTCTGTTACTGTTTACTATTAAGAAGCACGAGCTTTTCTGACCTGTAGCTGCCTTCATCAGGCTCTCCTGCCACGAAATCAGTAAGAGTTGCTCCACTAGGTTTAAGTGCAAAAGAAAAAAGATGACTCCAATAAAATAAATTTGACTTCCAACCGATGCACCCTATGTAGTTAATGGTTCAGAGACCCAGAAACTTCGTATGCACCAAGAAACTCCGGCAAAGTTTGGCATCACCTACATTGATCAAAGAGCAGATTATATCCATTGACTTGCAGGGGGGAGAGAGAGAGAGGAAAAAAAAAAAGCATCTTCACCATCGAGATATTAAACCTCCGAATCCTAGACAAGATCTTCCCTCGCCCGGCCCGCCCAGGACAGCGCCCCCAACCGTCGCCCAGGCTACCCGAGTCGGCCACTCCGCTTTTTACTCCACCTCGGTGGGAAAAGGGAGGTCACGTGTCTGGGGCGTGGAATGAAGTGACGGCCTCTCCGGTCACATGATAGTGGCGCGGGCCGGAGTTGCTACGGTTGCTCGGGGCGGGGGGCCGGAGTCTGGCTGACAATGGTAAGTGAGCGGCTGCCCGGTTTAAGGAAACGGGGAGGGGGGGAGGGGAAGGAATATTAAGGCTGTCGGGACGCCCCGCGGTGGAACTCACCGACGGGAGGACCGTTGGGTTGCGACTGGCTTCTTTCCCCTTGGCTCCCTTTTCCCCACCCTTCTGAACGGGCCGGGCCTCGGGAGCGCTCGAGGCAGAACGGCTGGCCGTTCCCATGGAGACGGGGTTTTTTTCTCCCCCCCCTCTCCTCCGTCCGTTCCTTCTTCCCACCTCTGCTGACTCCGCCCCCCTCCACCCCCCTCAGCGAGGGCCGTTTTCTCAGCGCGCGGGGGCGGCCACTCCAAGTCCGCCCCCCTCCCTCCTCGTCCCTCCACGCGCGCATTCCGCCTGCCTCGTGACGTTGAAATCAGTCCCCGTGCGCGCGCGCGCACTCGGTGTGGGGGGGGGGGAAAGAGGGGTTGAAGGAAAGAAAAGCCTTGTGGCGGCGGTTGCCGGGCCCCGTCGCCCTTTCGGCCGCTGAGCGCGTCTCTCTCTCTCTCTCTCTCTCTCTCTCTCTCTCTGGCCGGGCGACCCTCCTCGAGGTCCGAAGAAATAGCGGCAGGTGGAAGGAACCTCGCGGGGTGGGGGTGGGGGCGGGGTATTGCATCGCGGCGGCTCCTTTTTTTTGGGACGTGGGCCGCTGCCTCTTTTCCAACTTTAAAACACCTCGCCCTTAAAAGTGGGTCCCTCCCTGGGTGTGGTTGCTGAGGGCGACCAGATTAGGTCGGGGGCTGCAAAAAAAAATAAAAATCGGAAGGGCCGTTTAAATGGCAGCCGAGGATTACACGTTCTGTTTAACAGATTTAACAGATTAACAAGACTTGGAAGGGACCCTTGTAGGTCATCTAGTCCAGGGGTCTCCAACCTTGGCAACTTTAAGCCTGGTGGACTTCAACTCCCAGAATTCCCCAGCCAGCAAAGCTGTGAGGTAAAAGGCAACGCTGGCTGGGGAATTCTGGGAGTTGAAGTCCACCAGGCTTAAAGTTGCCAAGGTTGGAGACCCCTGGACTAGTACAACCCCCCCCCCAAGCAGGAGACCCTACATCATTTCTGACAAATGGCAGTCCAGTCTCTTTTTAAAAGCTTCCAGTGATGAAGCTCCCACAACTTCCGAAGGCAACGTTCTGTTCCATTGGTTGATTGTTCTCACTGTCAGAAAATTTCTCCTCATTTCCAGGTTGAATCTCTCCTTATTCAGTTTTCATCCATTATTACTCCTTGTCTGGCCTTCAAGTGCCTTGGAAAATAGCGTGACCCCCTCCTCTCTGTTGCAGCCTCTCAAATATTGGAAGACTACTCTCATGTCTCCCCTGGTCCTTCTCTTCACTAGATTAACCATGCCCAGTTCCTGCAACCGTTCTTCATATGTTTTAGTCTCCAGTCCCCTAATCATCCTGGTTTTAGTGTTTTCCCCCCTGGGCTTTAGTCATGCTGGGCGTGTGCTTAGAAAGCGCACCCAAGCTGCAAAATGGAGGTGTGGGGAAACCTCTCTTGCAAGGGGTTGTCATTTATGCCGGTAGGATAATCCCATTTATTATTCTCAAAGAGCCAAAGCGATGCTGGGAATCCTTGAAAGGGAGTCTTGCTTTTCTTGTGCAGCGATTGCTGAACTGCTTGCCATCTTTTTACCCTGTGTACCTAAACTTTGTTTAGGTAGTGAGTCTGAGGAGCAGTAAATGGGCTTGATTTAACAATCCAGCTCAGGAAATATAAATTAGTTGCGGAAGCTGATAAGTATAGAAAATGAACTCGCCACAGTATGTTCGACTGATACCTGCAGGGTCCTTGATGCTCTCTGAGCTTGGCTGGAAAAAGGATGTAAAAGTTACTGACAAAGTTTCAGTAGTTTGTTGGATTTGTCTAGAATATACAATTGTATGACATTGCTGTTTATTTTGCATGCATTGTAAACTCTGCCTTTTTGTGAGGTAAAAGTGAATATTCAATGATTGCTCCAAGGAAAAGCATTGTTAGATAAGCTTTGTCGCTGCATTCCTTGCCATATGTTGAGTAATAGTGTGCTCTGGCTGCGTATTTGGGATAGTGAGATGTTGCAACAATATCTCAAGTTCTTAACTGATTTCCTTATGAAATATACAAAATGTATATTTATTAAACAGAAAATAACAGCTTCCATGAGGCAAATGAGCCTCCTAGAATTCTTGTACTCATGTTTTTTTTCACTGGGTAGATGTACCGGTAGGTCTACCATATCTAGGCTAAAAAATATGAGCAGTCTATCATTGGATGATAGAGAGCAACAGAAAGCAAATTCTAGTAGTTGCCTGGTTTGTTGCCACTCAGATATGGTACTATATCAAAATATGGTCAACATATTTATCATTTAAAACAGGGCTGCCAACTTGCGGCCCACGGGCTGGATGTGTCATGCGCTGGCCACACCCACGCCTGGTTTAGCGAAGGGGGGAAAAGCTGCGATATGTCATTTGATGCTGCCGTGACGACGTGAGTTTGACACCCCTGATTTAAAGTATATGGAGTATATAGGAGGAGTCAGTTGCAGATTTGGAGCTCATTCCCCACAGCTGTGGTGATTGCATTGTGTGATCATATTTAAATATTTCATTTACATGATATGAGACAAAACCTCTGGAATGAACCATAGCTAAATTGTTTCTCCCTCTTAACTTAGAATTGTCTGGAATTTGAGATTTATATGACAAGCTGTGGCTTTCTTTCCATGATTTTGAGCAAAATAATTATACAGTAAACAAAAGGCAATGTATTAGGTGATCATGGAAAAGAGGGAAGGAGAAAATACATTTGAAGTTATATGTTTGGGTCCTCACTGTGCCACTCTTAGTGCCAAAATTCCCTCAATGCCTGCTAGGTTTCCTGATTTTTTATTTTTTTGAGTTTTGGTCACCAGCTGCAGAGTAGAGGCAGTGCCTCTAGTTCTCACAGAAAATAAATGGTAGATGGTTGTAGTTTAGTGCTTTGTTTTTAGTCAGCCAAACTTCCCTTTGGTCAAAGAGCAGTATAGAACATAACAATTAACATGCTGTTTATAAGTGAAAAAAGAGGATCACACGAAATGCAAGCTAAAAGAATAATACAGAGTATTATGAATGAAGGCAAATTCAGAGTATTCACTATTGTTACCATTGCAAGCTACATCTGCAGGAGCAAAATCCCCAGATTATTATTTGTCTAAAACTAATACATAAAGCTAAAAAACTAAAATAAAAGTAGCTTAATATAAATGGCATCTATCTATATGTACTTATTTTAATATTGTTCAAAAGTTAGGCATAGTTACAGTGTATTTTAGAATGGGAATTGGTCAGCTTAAATCTTGCTTTACTAGCAGAATAACAATTTAGTAACTTCTGGAAAGGTAGAGTCCCTTTGATTAGGAAGCAGAACCAGGTGAGCAAAAATATTTGTATAACAGCAACAGTAGAGGTAAGTCCTTGACTTACAACCATAATTTGGACTGGCATTAGTGTCAAAATATCAGTGTAGTCTTAAAGTGAGATGTCATGAGGCTGCACTTACTTAAAAAGCAATCCTGGTATTTCCTGTTGCAGTCATTAACTGAGAATCATGGGTCATTAAGTGAGCACCCACCCCAATCCATGCCATTCTGGGCTCAGTCCCTCCCAGCCTGGTAAGGGACTGCCTCCAACTCCCCCCATTCACCTGTCTCCCCCATCTATGCCCTTTTGGCCCCTGCCTTACAGGCAGCAATCAGCAGGCGCCAGCAACATTCATTTGCACAGATGCTTCCCCCCCCCCTCCAACTCCATGTGGCTCCCCAGCCTGACTCAACCAACCACCAGCAAACATTCATTTCTCCCAGTTCTCTGCACTGACCTTTGGCCTCTTGCTGTCTCCTTTTCAGACCAAGTTTCTCCAGCAAGTGTTTCGTATAGTACTGAGCCTTTGTAAAGCTGTGCTCTCTTTGGAATGCCTTTGGAAAGATGGCTCAACTTTGCAAAGGGAGTGCAGCTTTACAAAGGCTCAGAAAGTCATGTGTGCTATAAGAATCCTCACTGGAGAAGCTGTGGACACAGCAAAAGGTGAAAAGTCTATTGTGGAAGAGAAGGCAGCTGGGTGAATGGATGCTTGCTGGGACGAGCTGGGCTGGATTGGGAACCCATGTGTGGCTGAAGAAAAAAGGTGGGTGGTGATTGATTGCATCCTGGGGTATGGCAAGCAGCCCCAGAGCTGCATGATTCTGAGGCTGTTTACCTCCTTGTAAAGCAGGGATGTGATGGCTCAGTGGCTAAGACGCTGAGCTTGCTGATCGAAAGGTCGGCAGTTCAGCAGTTTGAATCCCTAGTGCTGTGTAACGGGATGAGCTCCCATTATTTGTCCCAGCTTCTGCCAAACTAGCAGTTCGAAAGCACGTAAAAAATGCAATAGAAAAATAGGGACCACCTTTGGTGGGAAGGTTACAGCATTCCGTGCGCCTTTGGCATTTAGTCATGCCGGCCACATGACAATGGAGATGTCTTTGGACAGCACTGGCTCTTCGGCTTTGAAATGGAGATGAGTACCGCCCCCTAGAGCCGGGAACGACTAGCACATATGTGCGAGGGAAACCTTTACCTTTAAAGCAGGGCAGCAGCTAACCAAAAGGGTATATAGATAAGAGGGAGATAGGTGGGTGGGGAGAGTTGAAGTGCCCTTGAGGTTGTAAATGCAGGCAGACTGCTAAGCTCCCAAATTTTGATCAATGGCTGTAACTTTGGGCGGGAGTTGTAAGCCCATTTTTTCAATACTGTTATCATTTCAGCTGGTACTGAATGAATAGCTGTAAGTCAAGAATTACCTTTACAGTAAAATGTGGACAATAAAGTCCATTTTATTTGTGTTTTGTTTTGGAAGGGTGCTCACCTGCAAAGAAAGTTCTGTTGGCAGACAGCATAGAGAATGATAAAAGAGACTGGTAGGAAGTAACAACCTCATTAGCCTGCATCTCATAAGGGGGTGATTTGCAATTGGTTGTGCCCATCATGGTGGCCAATTCATAAAAATAGTGTCCAGCTGGCCCAAACTTTAGAGACCACTCTTACAGGCAGAATCTCTGAGCAGAGGTTTGGCTTCCCAAATGTTATATATTCTCGTATCATAATTTAAGATTAATTTAGGATTTAAGGTAGCTTGGATACCACATAATTTATATTTTTCTTAAAACAACCATGCATCCAGTATATTAAGTTAATTACTGCAATTTGACATCCCTATACAATATTTAAAACCTAGAAATGAAACCTTTAAAAATGATCATTGATTTAAAGTGATACAGAATATAACAGAATAGAGGGAGTTTGTTATAAAAAGTAGTTAGGATTCTACTGTAACAAGATATTTGCTTTTTGCAGTGAATTTATCAGTATTCTGGTCCTAATATCTTGCTGTAAGAGTTTCTATTATGAACGTATAGATTTTTAATTTTTACGTTGAAAAATTACTTCCAAAGCTTCCAATATTTTTGTCTACAGCATTGTGCTAGATAAAGTTCCTGTTTTGTACATTTAAATAAGTATTACTTTTATTGCAGAGTTTTCTTGGAAATTTGTTTGGTCCCATATGTGAGATTGATGTTGTTCTGAATGATGCTGAATCACGAAAAACAGCTGAAATCAAAACAGAAGATAACAAAGTAGAAAAACATTACTTGTTCTATGATGGAGAATCAGTTTCAGGAAAGGTAAATTGCATCCTTTGTATCCTCAAAATGGTCCGTAATAGAACATATAAGCAAAATCACACATTTATATGGCTATAGTGTGCTTTAGAGTTTCAGTGGTTGATTAATTATGTTTTATTTGCTTTTTGAGTAAAACTAGAATATATAGGAGCCTGAGTGGCGCAGCAGACTAATGCTACTGTTAAAGGTAGTATTTAGCTTCCAGCTGCCTGCAATTACTGCGAGTTCAATTCTCACCAGGCTCAAGGTTGACTCAGCCTTCCATCCTTTCTAAGGTAGGTAAAATGAGGACCCGGTTTGTGGGGGCAATAAGCTGACTTTGTATAAAATATACAAAAGTATGAAGGCTATTGCTTAACTCCTTGTAAGCTGCTCTGAGTCTCCGGAGAAGGGCGGCATATAAATCAAAATAAAAAATAAAAAAATAATTACCATTTTTGTATGTTAACAAACAGTTTCAGTATGAAAGCTGTCCCCTTATAGTTATATCTGTTTTGAGAGTTTGGTCAGGCATAATGTTCATTTTAAGTGAAGGAAGGAAAAACTAACAACAGCATTTTATCTATATCTTTAAACTACCCAAAATCTAGGCTAAAAATCCCCATCCCCAAGACTTTTGAAATTGCAGGGAAAAAGCTATCCCAGCTCAAAACCAGTTCCCTGTTTCTAGGATATGTGATTATTGTTGAAAACTCTCTACCTACTGCTGTATTCCTAAAGATTAGGAAATAGATTAACTTTGTCATTCTTTCCTGAATTTTTGTGATTGTTGTATTGCCAGATAAGTATATAGTATTTAATATTTGTATTTTGATATTCTATTTGTAAACCACCAAGACACTGAATGGAGTTGGCAAAATATGCTCTTAATTTTTCTAAAAATCCTGTTTATGCTACCCTGTACATTTTTTAGAATGAATTTAATTTTAAATTATTGTAAGCCATTATTAGTTCTAGGATTAGGGTATAGTGGTTGAAGGTACTGGACAGAGACCAAGAGATTGTGACTTCTAGCCCATTAAAACCTACTGGGTGACTTTGAGCCAGTTATTTTCTCTCAGCCCTAGGCAGAAGACAATGGAAAACCACTTCTGAAAATATTGCAAAGAAAATTTCATGGGCATAACCTGTGTAGAAATTTAATAAATAGTTGTCAGGAGTCAACTGACTTGAAGGCACACATATAACAACTACAAATAAAATGAAAAATTGGGGATAAATTGTTCCTATTGCAGCTATGTCCTTGTATAGTTAATGATTTATGAAACTATGCAAAGGTATAGGAGCACTACATTAATATACTGGATTTTTCCCCCCAGGTAAATATAGTCTTTAAACATCATGGAAAGAGGCTAGAGCATCAAGGAATAAGAATTGAATTCGTAGGGCAAATTGGTGAGTTATAGACCTGGCACTGAATCTGGATAAAATGTAAAATGTTCACTATGATTTGTAGAAATGTTAATTTGGACGTGACACTGGAATAATACTGAGGTAGATTAATAGCAAGCAATATGAAATATTGAACTTAATAATGAACTGTTTGGGACTGCTTATTAATTAATTATTTGAATGTGTAATATAATGTGATATACATTAAAAGTCAATTTAAAATTATTATGTACGTGTGTATGAATATACAGTATATAATGTATGGGTGTCTGCACACATGCACACACATACACTTATTAAAGTTTTTTAAAAAGTATAAAACCTAACAAAACAAAGTAAGAAAAATAAGAGAAAGAAATCAAAAGTGCAAGAAAGGAAAAAGGAAGTAAAGAAAAAATAGAAAAAAATATTCAAAGAAGTAGATTCCAATTTCCTTTACAGCAGTTATAAATACAATTATAAGTTTATCTCTTAATCTGTGGTTACAACATTTCTCTCCTCTTTCTATAATGAATTCTTTTTAATCATCAAAACAATAAATCAGTTTATTTTTTCTGTTCTACACAAAAAGTCTACAAGAAGTTTCCATTCAGCAATAAATGTAGAAGTCAAGTTATCTCAGCAAGTCATTTTCACCAACTTCACCACCAAGGCTTCAGTTCTAGAGCCTTTTTGAAGTAGTTTCAAATATGCTGAACATGTCTTATTTGAAGTCAATAGTACAATACTTGAGAAGAAAGAATTAAAAGTTTCCTCCACTGTTTTATCAAGCTGCTAACCTATAAAAATATACATTTTACAATATGGTCCCCATAATCATGGGTTGTGCAAAATATTCAAAAGAGAAGTTGCAGTGTTAAAGCAGTCTCATCTGCCTTGGCACAGGAATAAAGATAGCCAGAGGCAACTTCCGAACCCGTTGTGTGAGCCTTGCAAAAAGCATGTGATTCAAAGAGAGGTTCTTTTATGCTCCCACATGTTGCAAAATGTTTTGCACAACCTACAGTTACTAAGTTGGTCTCAAAACTGGTACAGTAAGTAAAGATGATATAATTGATTGAAAGAAGGAGAGTAAGAGAAAGTCCTGTTGCACAAGAAGAAGTTGGCTTGCGTAATACTGAACTTAGCTTTTTAATATTATGTTTCATCAGCAAACAGTTTTCTGAAGAATTGTTCCATGCTTATACTACGAGAAATGTGAAACTAGGAGGAGGAAGTCGTACTAAAATTTTGAATAGTTAAATATGCAGCATAAAAATATTTGTTGAATAGGCTATGTTGATATTCAAATACATCAGGCTATTTTAGCAGCATCATTAACAAAAGATTTCAGAGTTCTTGTGAAATATAAGATCTTTGTATTGCAATTGAATTTTTGAAAAACTGTTGCATTAAATGTTCGTAAATGTTAAAAAAAAATAGGTTCCTTCTTCCAGTTTCACTTTAAAAAATAACACTTATGTCTTCTTTGCCAGTTGCTTACAATCACCCAAATAAATTATTTTAAAAAACCCTTGCATTGTCTTCAGGAATGTTTCTTTTATGTATTTTCTGACTGTATTCCTTAATTTTGCAGAACTTTTCAATGACAAGAGCAATACTCACGAATTTGTAAACTTAGTGAAAGAGCTGGCCTTACCTGGTGAATTAACACAAAGTAGAAGCTATGACTTTGAATTTATGCAAGTTGAGAAACCATATGAATCCTATATTGGTGCCAATGTTAGATTGAGGTATGAAATTTTTATGTAGTTAGTTATAGCACTCTCATTTAGCTGAACTGGAATGTCAGTATTACTGTATACATTTTAAAATTCAATAGATATGTTCTTCTGCTTATAGAAACATTTGATCAAAAAGAGGTTTTCACAAACAAAAGGGTGAAAAATATTTTTTTTGCTTTTATTATAAAAATCCCTTAATACTGTAAAGTTTAAAAAATAGAAGCATTCAAAAGTTAAAACAAAATGGGTTCAAAATATATTATTTCTATAGATGTGTGCCTACATTTTTCGTGTAAATATCTCCCGTTTTACTTTGGGGAATAAAACAATTCTTATTAACTAGCATGATTGTGAAACTAGAATAGGTAAACTGACTTGATTGACTCATACGTTTCAAACTACCAATGCAATTTATGAGCGTTAGAAACAGCCTACTGATGATTTAATACAGATGGTTGTCTCTGCAGTTTCCAATATTGAAGGAGTATATTAAGTTTTGAAATAATCTGTTTTGCAGTCTCCAATAATGTCATTCTTTTATAGGTATTTCCTTAAAGTGACGATAGTAAGAAGGTTGTCAGACTTGATTAAAGAATACGATCTTATTGTTCACCAGCTTGCAACTTACCCAGATGTTAACAATTCTATTAAAATGGAAGTTGGCATTGAAGATTGTCTGCATATAGAATTTGAATATAACAAATCCAAGTAGGTCTGATTTAAATGAAGTACACACATGAACTTGAAAAAAACAGCCAGCCAAGAACAATTCAAGACATGCAGAAATGATTAGCAACTGATTACTAATTGTATTTGGGGAAAACTGCCAATCTTTTTTTCCATGGTGATCAAAATGCAGAAAATTCATCTTTATTTTGAAGCACTGTTTATATAACTTTTCTTTTTCCTTACATATAAAATTGTCTACTCATATAGAAAATAGAAGTGGTGAGTTTCGACATGTTAGATTGGACTTCAGGCTTAGGTGGGGGAATCACAATCTTGCATATTCCTGAGTGTTTAAAGCATCCCCAGAACAGCAAATAAAACTTTATAATACTGTAAAGAATAAATTGGAATAATAGATTTCTCTTATGAAACAAATTAGTTATTTGCAGGGAATATTAAAACATTGCACAAGCCTGAGTTTTGAAGAATGTACATGGCTGTTTCACGATTTTGCCATTCTTTTGCTATACATCAGTATGTTAAACTGTTTGGGGATACTCTTGAATATTATGTTGCTGCTGGCATAAGCAATGGCTACAGCTAGGGACATTTTTATTTAATTTAAGCTGGTCTTCTAATTGCATATCTGACTTCACCAAAAATGGGCAGAGTCCCTTTTTGTGGGATTATTTTGAGCAAGGGCATATGGGACAAACTTTGAAAAACATTGGCAGCTGGAGTTTTAACTGGCTAGGTTTTTTTGGACCATGTGACTCTAGCTATTGTCTGTTTCTGAGTTCAATTCAAGTGCTTTCAGGGCCTAACAGTATTCAAGAAAACGTGTTTAAATAATACTAACTTCAATGTAGTAGTCCCTCCCTACTCTTGAATTGTGGGAATCCATCTTTGTGCCGATGGAAAAATTAACAATTAGCTGCTAGTTAGTTGGGTTCCAACCTTTGGTCTGAGACCAAATGCATACGGAGATATTAATGCATACAGAGCTCAATTTTTTACAAATCTCTTTCTTTTAAGGTATCACTTAAAGGATGTGATTGTTGGAAAAATCTACTTCCTCTTAGTAAGAATAAAAATTCAACATATGGAATTACAGCTGATAAAAAAAGAAATAACTGGAATTGGTAAGATGAAGAAATAATAGTTCGTTGTTAATCATTTAGGTCTTGCCTTTTCTGTTAGGTTCTTGGTTTTATTTAATAATCTTTGAATATAGTTTGTTTGCATGAATGCCATTTAATATATTATGAAAATTTACTGTAACTTTAAACTTAACTACCTGTATTTTTCGGAGTATAAGACGCACCACGGAATATAAGAAGCACCTTAGTTTTGGGGGAGGAAAATAGAGGGGGGGAATTCATCTGGCTAGTCCCAGCATATTAGTTCGTTCGCTGGTTTTGAGGTTGGGGCTGGTTGAGGCTGTGCTTCTAAAGCACAGCTGATTGTCGGAGGGAGCAGCAATTAGAAAAGCAGGCAAAGTGCAGAAGATCGCTTTGCTCACGTTGGGGCTGAAAAATAGCTTCAAAAGGACAGCTGATCCTTGGAGGGAGCTCCAGTGACTATAACAGGCAAAGCGCAGAAGGGGTAAGAGAAGGCAGCAGCTGTTCTGGGTAACCATTTTGGGCACCGCATGGGGTTACATTCGGAGTATAAGATGCACCCAAATTTTCAGCCTCTTTTAGGAGGGAAAAAAGTGTGTTTTATACTCAGAAAAATACTGTAGTTTGATTTGCAGATAACAATCTTCCAAGGGGCCTCTGAAGTAGTTTTTAAAGTATTACCCTTAAATTGTCATATGTAATTTCGTTTTGTCTTTCAATTGCATTACAAAAGATGGAAGACTTTTGTACAATGGCTTAAAATATAGAAGAATATCAAAAAAAGCATAGCATAAGAGCTTTTGATAATAGAGATGATTCAGAACAATAATAAACTATAGTAAATAATCAGAAGTTAGCGTTACATTTGTTCGCTTTGGCAAATTAATATGCAGAAATAATTAGCGCGTCTTCTGGACATGATTTACTACTACCGTGTTTACCTGAAAAGACCCATTCACCTGTCGCGCTGCTGCTTGACTTGTTCTCTGGCCACTCGCAGCCAGACACCTTGTGCCTCGTTGTGCCGGTGTTGCCGTTTGCGGCATAATGCCGCAAGGCTCGTCATGCTGGTGTCACTGCTCGCAGCAGGAGGCTGTGTGGTGTGTTGTACCATTGTGTGCATGAGCGACAGCACCGGTGTGATGAGCCACGTGGCATAGTGCAGCAGTGTAATAGGTGTCAGGGCGTGGGAGGCCTGGCTGCGGCAGTCCTAAAGTAAGTGGGGTGCGTGGGGCAGCTCCACCCCCTACCCCCGCCCTACCTTGATTTTTACATCTGTGCCTCGCCCCACCTCGTACAACCAGACGGTAGGTAGGGCTTAACTAGAGCTTATTTTTAGGGTAGGGCTTATATTTTAGGTACAGGCTGAAAAACGGGCTAGGGCTTGTTTTCGGGGTAGGTTGTATTTTCGGGAAAACATGGTATATTCAGTTATCTTGATGGTTTACTTTAGTACTACAGGAATACAAAAACCTTGCTCCGTGTATTAATTAAAATTCTACTGTGACACTTAGAACAACCCATTTTTAAAAAATATTGTGTAATCAAATAATGTACAGTTGTACAGTTACAATACAGGTAGACGACTTACAATAGTTCATTTAGTGACCAAAGTTACAATGGCACTGAAAAAAGTGACTTATGACCGCTTTTCACAGTTAGGACCTTTGAAGCATCCCCATGATCATGTGATCAAAATTCAGATGCTTGCCAACTAGTTCATGCTTATGACCATTGCAGTGTCCCGGGGTCATATGATCACTTTTTGCAACCTTCTGACAAGCAAAGTCAATGGGGAAGCCAAATTTATTTGACAACTATGTTACTGAAATATCAGTTGCAGCGATTCACTTAACAACTGTGACAAGAAGTGTCATAAAATGGGGCAAAATTCACCTAACAAATGACTCACTATCAGAAATTTTGAGCTAAAATTATGGTTGTAAGTTGAGAACTACCTGTATACAGTTAAAGCATATTTCATATTGGATTTTATCCTACTGAAATAATTGCAGTTATAAATAGAAAATTGAGAAAAAGCTATACTAAACATCATGCTACTTATTTGTACTTCTATATAACTAACTAGGACCCAGTACAACAACAGAAACGGAGACCATTGCAAAATATGAAATAATGGATGGTGCACCAGTTAAAGGTGAGTGGGTGCATTTTTTTTAATTTATTTTATATCAAATTTATATACCGCCCTTCTCCCTAAGGACTCAGGGTGGTGTACTGCCAAATAAAAACATAAAGTACAAACATTAAAATACTATTAAAAAGATATATATAAATTTGGCCCCATAATTGAAAACCAATGACAAACCAGTTAAAAACATTTAAAAGTATTAAACCAGCTCGGCTTGCTGAAAAAAGAAAGTTTTAAGGGCATGGCGGAAGGCACCGAGGTCTTGGATTCTCCTTATCTCTGGGGGCAGTTGGTTCCAGAGGGTGGGTGCACCCACAGAGAAGGCCCTCCCCCTGGGGGTCACCAGCCTACATTGTTTGGCTGATGGCACCCCGAGGAGGCCCTCTCTGTGGGAGCACACAGGTCGATGGGAGGCCGTCGGTAGCAGCAGGCGGTCTCGAAGATATCTAGGTCCTATGCCATGGAGCGCTTTAAAGGTGATAACCAACACCTTGAAGCGCACCCGGAAGACCACTGGGAGCTAGTGCAGCTCACGCAGCAGAGGTGTTGTATGGGAGCGCCACGCAGCTCCCTTAACTACCTGCGCGGCTGCATTCTGGACCAGTTGGAGCCTCCGGGTGCCCCTCAAGGGGAGCCCCATGTAGAGAGCGTTGCAGTAGTCCAGGCGAGAGGTGACGAGGGCATGAGTGACTGTGCACAGGGAATCCTGATCAAGAAAGGGCCGCAACTGGCGTATCAGGCGAACCTGATAAAAAGTCCCCCTGGCCACAGCCGTCAGATGTTCCTCCAAGGACAGCTGCGTATCCAGAAGGACTCCCAGATTGTGAGCCCTCTCCGAGGGGGCCAAAGACTCGCCCCCAATAGTCAGAGATGGAGTCATCAGACTATATCGGGATGCCGGGAACCACAGCCACAGTCTTGGAAGGGTTGAGTTTGAGCCGGTTTCTCCCCATCCAGATCCGCACAGCCTCCAGGCACCAGGACATTACTTCAAGGGCATCGTTGGGGTAGCTCTTATTTATCTATAATCCAGAATAGCTAGGATATTCTATTTGTATCAGCTGTGATTTTTAGGACACCTTCAACAATAAACAATCTTGCTGTATTGGAAAAGAATAACTGAGCTCTTAATTTAGAAGTTCCTTCCCGTACAACTTGTCTTACTTCTTTGATGAAGCAAGTAAGATGAGAAAACTTTACTTGCTTTCATATGTCCAGTAAAATAGGGTCAAATGTGTTCTTTTATTATGATAAACTAAATGTGCAGTGAGAATTTATTGGACTAAAAAGCTTTCTGACTACAGTGACAGTCAGATGTCAGACGTAAGATGAGTGTAATATTCTCCAAAGCTGTTATTCCCCAGAAAATGATATGCAGAGGGATATCTTAAATTCCCTAAAAGTAATTTCCACAAAGCTATTTGTGCCCCCAGGAAATTAACTCAGTTAGCTTTATTGAAAAATGGCTTGTAAAAAAAATGTAAACTATGAATTTGCAAATCATTCAATATTAAACTTTGCAACCAATTTATTTAACAAAACTAAGAATGATTTTGTTTTTCATTTAAGGTGAATCTATTCCCATAAGACTCTTCTTGGCTGGCTATGATCCTACTCCCACAATGAGAGATGTAAACAAAAAATTTTCAGTAAGATACTTCTTGAACCTAGTGCTAGTAGACGAAGAAGACAGACGGTACTTCAAGCAGCAGGTATAACTGGAATAGTGTAATGGAATTGATGTATTTATAACAGCTTCCAGATATGACAGTTTTTTACAGCTAAAAATCATGTATGGATGTATATGTTTTTAAATTAGGACTAACATCACAAACCTTTTGGCTTTGTCTCAGTTAAAGAAATTGATATAATTAAAGAAGCTGTATCCACTGAACAGAAACGTTTCAGCGTTAAACTGTGCTTATGAATGTTGTGTTTAGGCAGTACTTAATGACTATTCCTTTTCAACTAATACTGATCTTAATGCAGTCTTAAGACACCTATTATCACAGTTGCATTCAAGTAGACCTTGCCTAATTATCCTAATTGGGACTGGTATTTCTGTCACTAAGCGAAGTGGTCATTTAGGTGAAACATATGACCACACACCTTAGCAACAGCAGTTCTGGTAGTATTGGTTGCAGCTGTTAGGCCAGAACTGCACTGTTGTTAGACAAGAACCTTGCACTTCTGCTGCCTTGCTGCACTACCTCCGCTTTAACACCCTCCCACCTTTCTCCCCTGACACATCTGCTCTTTTGGCCATCCTGCATGCTACTTTTGCCTACCCCTACCCTGAACTCTCTTTTGCCATCTTCTTCCTTCTGCTGCCGACCCTTTCGGACGCTGTGTGAGGGAGGTCTTGCATGGTTTTGTGAAGGATCAGCAGTTGCTTTGGCCGGGTGTGCCTTGTCTGCTGCAGGAGGAAGAAATTGACGAAGAGCAGCAGGGAATGACAGGAATAAGTGGCATTAAGTGCAGGATGGACTAGAGATGGAGAGGAAGAAAGGCAGGTGGGGGAAGTTGAAGCGCATGCTGCTGTTATAAATGCAGGAGGCTGCCAAATGCCCACATTTTAATCACGATCCCAGGGGCACTGCATTGGCCGTAACTTTGAGGACCAGCCATAACATTTGCTTAGTGCCATTGTAAATTTGAATGGTTCCTCAACAAATGATCATTAAACAAGGACTACCTGTACTATGACCTTCATTCTGTTGTATAAAGGAGAATAAAAATGGTGCAGCTAAATAAAATATGCTGTACTTCATCAGAACAGAAGTGCATGCAAAGAAGTGAGCTGATTGGATACAGCGCCGCTGCTAGATTTTGACCAAGTGTTCATATCAGTATTTTAATCCAGAATTTTCTTGCTTCCTGAAATAGGAAATCATTCTCTGGAGAAAAGCCCCTGAAAAACTGAGGAAACAGAGAACCAACTTCCATCAGCGGTTTGAAAGTCCAGAGCCACAGGCATCTGCAGAACAGCCTGAAATGTGAACTGGATCTACAGGATGAAAAACTGGGATGTCGGTAGATCAGCAGATTAAAGGTGGCGACAGCCTGTAGGAAAGAAAGGCCAAACTCCCATTACAACAGTCTTCCTCATCTTACAGTGCTGCATTTCCCACACTACTAAAACATTCTTCAAGTAAATATTCAATTCTGTACATACATTTAAAGTAAGTGCTTTCTGAAACACTGGAACTTTCTTAAGCTCTTTTATACTGCATATTTTACTTTTGTCTGGTGTGATGCAGTCAGAGATGCATACAGCTTAAAGAAGTCTAGTTATGTGTTTCCATGCATGTAGTATGGTGCATCTAAGTTTTGCTTTCATTGATGGTAAACTAAAGCATTTCCTCTTTCTATATCCGACTGCATATCATACATATTTCCTCAGTGTCTGCTATCTGTAACATTGGAGACTTAATAAAAAATTGTCTTAAAATGACAAATTCAGGTTTTATAATGATACTGTTGTCTTTACCCCAGGGAAGTAGATAATATATATAAAATACAATGTATTTGGAATAGATCTGAGAGCATATTACTGTTTTCAGAATTTTTTTGAGGAATGTGTATAAACGAGTTTCTTTCGTAATCAGTTTTTGAAGACGAGTGGCTTGCACACACTTTTCTTCCCCTTAGCGTACTCATTCCAATGACTCTATGATCAGATTCCAATTCACTTCAAGATTTGTATGACCTGGGCTAAAATACAGTATTCTCTCATTAAACCCCCGTTTGGTTAAGGGTGTGTGTATATGATAAAATGTTTTAAGATAATTTTTACTAATTTACACTCTTGAATACTGGATCGTTTGCACAAAATTTTATTTCTCATCAAATACCTATTTTTCACTGTCCTCCTCAAATGTGGAATATCGTATTCCTTTTCCATGCTAAGCTTCTGTGAGGAAATGTGGGCTTGTACAAAAATATATAGTTGAAAAACACCTGAATTTCCTAAGATGGTATTCTTGTGCAGCAAAAGATTGATTTATTTTTATAATTCATTCTGGAATGTAGTATCTTCAGGCAAATCTTGTTAGCCTCCATTTGTCCACAATTAACGTATAGTTTTTAGAACCACACTGCCTGTTTAGCACACTATGGGGACCTGTTGAATAGAAGGCTACTCACATTTCCAATTCACTTGGCCTATTTATCAAAAATGTTTCTAAAGTGCAAGTATTGTTGGTTATCTTACTGTGTGAAGTAAGCAAAATTGCTAAATTATATTTAGGAAAGAATTGTTCTATTACTGTGGCACTTTGATAAAGCCAAGAATACTCTGCGTGCTGGGATATTTCTCCTCTTCTTAAAACCTGTGACAGAGACCACTTGATTCCCTCATGTAAGTGCCTGTTCAAAATTTCAAAAGAAAAAAAGCCAAATATTTTCATGGACACTTGCATGTTGCAATCTTAGAAACTATTCCAAGAAAATTTTGAAAATTGATTGTATTTAACCAGCCTCAAATTGTGCAACTATGTATAATAGATATAATAAATTGCTATTTGAATTAAAAATAATTGTATTCTCACTAAAATCTCTTGACTACTTTATGTACAATAGCCTGTGAAGTAAATCTGTCTCTTCTAATTAGGAATATAGAACTTTTACTGACCTGCATGTTTTAAATGGCACCTAATCCATCATGGGAAAAAGCAAAATACTTTCATCTCCAAAATTCAGTGATTTCTCCATTGTAAGTCCTTAGATGGAAGGGGTTAATGATTCTCCACAGATGCTAAGCTTTGTTCGTAAATGTCTTTTAAATGGTAAAAATTATAGGTGTAAATCTTCCAAAACTCCAAGGAGACAGTAATATACTTTGTAGTACCAATCCATCTATTGCAGAGACAGTACAAGCAGTTTCAGTGGCCATTTGTTTTCATTGTCCATCTATTGTCATGCAGATTGCATTATATTAGTGCAGGGGTGATAAAAAAAAATCCCCCCCCCCTTATTGTTACATTACAGCTCAGGGCATCATTAGTCAGCATTGTTAATGATGAGGGATGCTGTGTGTTGCTGTTTACTCCAGTGCTATGATGAGAGTATTTGAGGAACACTGATTTAGGTTAATTTTTCAAATATATAAATCAAACATACTGAAAGCATAATGCTGTAGATTTGGAAAAAAACTTATTCTGGCAACATGAGAACTAGCAACAATAATCGCTTAGATGTCAGCAGTTTGTTCTAACTGACATAAAAAAGAACCCAAGAGAGAGAATATTTAGATAGGAAATAATGGTGGGCTTTGATAAACCTCTTGAAGGACAAATATTTTTAGCTTCTTTATTGGTTGGATTGGCTCCAGGGTTATCAGAGTCAAAATGGTGGTCATAGCCATGCGTTTGGAGCCCTACTAAAACACTTTTTTTTATAGCCTTCATGGGGAAGAATATTTTTTGTCTTAAGAAAAGATAAGAGTTTTGAAAAGGGAGCAGTGGTTTATGAGGAAAACAAAGACTCCTCGATGTCCTGTATTCTACCGGTAGGTTGGGTGAAAAGTTCTTGTGATAGGAATTTTTTTTTGTATCAACTGGGCTGACATTCGGTTGCTTTCATTGTTTAAATAAAAAATATGTAAGTTAGTGGGAAGCCAACTTAGCAAAGTGGTAAGGTACCAGGCTAGAAATAGACTGATTCTGGTTCCACTGTAGGCATTGCCAGCTGGATGACTTTGAGCCCCCGTTGCACTCGGCTCTAGAAAGGACAAACCAGTTGCCAAGAAAATTGTAGGGACTAAATATTACCTCAAAGGTACACACTTGTACACAAAAAACTCGGATTGGAGAATTTCTATTTTAATTCAAGGAAAGTAATGCTATAGCATTTTATTTCTTTATTCTGAAATGTTAGCACTGACCATAATAGTCTCAGGAAGAATGATTTTTAAGGACGGAGGTGTGTTGACTTCTGGTCTTGCTGGATTCCTTCCGTCCCCATTTTATAAATTAAATTCCGTCTTTATGGTTTTATAAATTAAAACAATATGGAGATCTTTTGAGATCTTCACATTGTTTCATTTATAAAACTCTTGCCTTATTGCTTGAAGCATAATTAGTTTTTGAGATGGCAATGTTGACTTAATACAAAAATTACCAAGTGAAAATCTTGAATTAAGTGGACTTCCTTAAGAAATTCTAATATTAAGGAGGCGGTTAGATTACACACCATCTTATGATGTCTTTTGATGACCTGGTAAATTGTTACTTAAAGTGAGAATAGGGCAGAGTACTGTATGATTATTTCTATTTCATATTAAACCATTCAGATTACTGCATAAATTACGTTTTTCCCAAGGCAGAGCAAAGGTAGCTCTTCTGTACAACGTTCCTTGCGTTATGGGTATATTTATCCATTGGAAGATCAAACGATAAAAATGACTGGTCTTCATCTCCCTTAGCTGCAGGACAGATGCGCCCTGGTAACCATGTTTATATGACACATCTTCACCATCAATCTTTGAAACTTTGTCTTATCTCCAACTCATCTGAGGCTTAATTAACTTTCAGTAGTTGTTCAAGTTGTAAGGGTACTGCTTTCCTTCTTCTGATGTAGTGCATTTAACATGCTTTCATAGATTCTATGATTGATGACATGGTTGGATATTGGAATATGCACAGCTTGTATGGCTGTTTCATACTGTCACAGGCTCTTTGGCTTGCATAACACCAAGCCGAAACTTTCCAAACCACTTAAATAAAACATTTATAAACATGTTGTTTTGTTGTTTGAGGTGCAATGCAGATTTTTGCTTTTCTGCCGACAATGGTTCCCATGGCCACAATTTTTTTACTCTTTACAATAATGCTCCTGTTTTGGAGAACTTGTGCATCAGTACCAGTACCATACTGCCACCTTGGCTAATCACTATGCTTGGAACCAGTACTATGATATTGCATCGCTGTGGCAACTTATGATTTATTTGCATTGCTCCTGATAGAGGGATATCATTTTGCTTGAGGTACTTTAGCTTTGGCCTAGTTACAGTAGCCAATCACAACCCGTATATCTATACTACTTCCAGGTACTTCCACAGACCTGGACTTACTAGCACCACCATTCCCTTGCACCACTACCTGTGGGTGGGATTAATTTGCTTCCTTGGTATTGAGATTTTGGACTCTTTCCTTCTCCCTAGTAGCCTGCAGACAATCAGCCACCTAGGAAAGCAGCTTACAAAGTGTTGATGGGGAGTGATTGAAAAACAAGAGAGACAACGGCATTGCTGGGAATCTGGGGTGAGGGAAAGAGATGCAATTCAACTACTGCAATATTGGTATTTTCAAAATAAACCTAAGAGAAATTCTCCTGGGATGGATACTAGTCAAGATCAAGGTGCTCTTGGGGTAGAAACACATTCTAGGTCATAATTTGAAACGTTGAAATGCTCTCAGATTGGATTTCTTACCAGCTGTAATGGTTACCTGTGAAAATATTTGATTTCATGACAAAAAGTATCAGAAAAATGCCAGCATTTTCTTATGTTCAATAGAAAGTGCCTGAATTTGTTTTGAAGGAAAGCATTCCTTTTGTTTGATTCATAGGTGTGAGAAGTCAAAGTGGCTCAACGTCCTACAATCAATGCAACTTAAGTCTCCGGAATATCGTTAATATGTGTGGATGAATTTGCCACCAATAGGGGTTGTAGTGTAGCAAAGAATTTGAATGTGAGAGGAGAGGAGGGTGAATTATTTGTGAATGTCAAAAGCAGCTGTATTTATGGCCAAGCTGCCCCTTCTCCAGCCAACACCCAGAGAGAATGAAGATAGGGGGACTTCCGCTGTGTGGAAAAAGCCTGGAAAGAGCCAGAATAGCATAGTGGTTAAGATACTGGACTAGGTCTTTATTTCGGAGTTGCTGCTGTGGGGAGAAAATTGAGGGGAGAGTGCTGTATCTTCCACTCATCCTGAAAAGTGAGTTTATAAATCAAATGAGTAAAATAAAATAAACAAGACATACGTTTGACACCCCCCTTCACAAATGGTTTACTTAAATACATACAAAAACCCTAAAACAAATGGGAAATGAGGCAAGGTGGAGGACTGAAGAATGTGGAGGGTTAGGGCAAACCGTTTCTATGGGCCTCTGACTCTGCCCTCCATTCTTCCAGGGCGCAGAGTCTTCTGTTCTGTGCCTCAAGACGACGGTTCATGGTTTTCACTGTCAAAAGAGAGGTCAAAGAGAGGTAAAGTAAGAAGCTATATCACCAAAGCTGATGGCAGTGATTGCATTTAGAATTGGGGGGGGAAGCCTATTTTAAATGTATCACATCCCATGAGCTTACAGTAAATGCAGTTCTTGTTCTTGGCTACCAAAGGGAGCCAACAGGAAAGAGATAACCATATTTTTCGGATTATAAAACCCACTGGAGTATAAGACTCACCAAGATTTTGAAGAGGTAAACAAGAAAAAAAAAGTTTTTGCCCTCCCTGGCCCCCAGGAATACTCTGCAGGCCTCCCAAACACTCTGCACATCCTGTTTTTGCAGAAAATGGGCCTGTTTTTCGCAAAAGTGGGATGCACGGGGCGGGGTTTTGGGAGGCCAAAAATGGCTGCATTCGGTGTATAAGATGCACCAACATTTCCACCCTCTTTTAGCGGGGAAAAAAGGTGTCTTATACTCCGAAAAGTACGGTATATTAAAACCATATTTCCAAGGAAAGCCAGGAAAGATTAAAGCAGTGTTTCTCTACCTCGGCAACTTTAAAGATGTACAGACTTCAACTCCGAGAATTCCTTAGCCAGCATGCTGAGGAACATTTGACATCTCAGTTAAGCATCTTCCTCAAGTTAAAGCTGTTCAATGCTTTCTCTCTCAAGAGTGCTCTGCTGAGCAAGATTTCTTCTTAGAACTATCATTGCTTTGGTGAGCACTCTGGGCAATAGCACCAGTCTAAAGGGGAATGGTTTCAACAGAGATTGTTCCATTCCACTACGCAGGTCTAATGGGTGTTTGTAAGTAAGACTTGGAGCAAATCTAAAGAAGCTATAAAGTTGTTAAGTAAAATAACTTCTCTCTTGGATTTCAAGATCTTCATTTCTATCTGAGCTTCCATCTTGATTTTGATTGGTCAATTCATTTGACTTGAAGCACCTTTCCCACTGCTTGGGCAAACCTGGGAATATTGCTCCTAGCTATTTTTGTGGAGTGTGGCTGAAGAGGTAAACCCTGTGCTTCCATGTCAAGTGAGTACATTAATTAAGGCAAAGTTGAAAGTGCTTCAGGCTTACAGTTCTGGAGCACTGCTACCCTGAGATCCTCCAAGGAAAGGCGAAAGGCCTCCATACTGGTACTTCCTTCCTTTGGCTGTGATGTTGGTGCCAGTACTGTTGAAGCATCTCTGGTCTCCGTTCCTTTCCTTTGTAGTTTCCCTGTGGCACAGTGTGAAAGCTATTTGAGATACAATATAAATACTTTGGATGACTACATGAAATTATTCCCACTAGATAATGGACGTTTATTGTACCACATTCACTTTAAACTGGATCAAGAGGGAGCTTTGCATTAGGTAGAGGCAAAATGGGCAAAGCATAAATCTGTTAAGGCATTTGGCACATGGCCTGTCTGGTAGCCCCCAGTGGCAGAGGTTTTGACATGCTGATGTCAACTTGCAAAGCATCCCTGGCCTGCTCTCAAGTTGCCATAGGCCAGTGGGGATGGGAAACCAGTGAAATGGCACAGCAGCCAAAGACAGATGCACATTCCACGCTTCTCTCTCTCAAGGCTGTATCCCAGGTTTACCTACAGCAGCCGAGGGGAGTGACCTCTACAACCCGTGAAATTGCTCCGTTGGCGAATGTGATTGATGACACACTCTGGGGGGATGGGGGAAACAGGGTCATAACTGGAGCGTAAATTACATAGGGTCAGAGCTGGCTTCACTTAGGAACATGCTAACATGAAGCTCCTAATAAATGGATTTCTTTTGAAGCTTGGCTCGAGACTCATGATTTAATTGGCATCCGTCGGAACCGTGACAGCTGACTTACCATGTCGTCTGGGACTATCCAGTTCCTCTAGTGCCATAGCAGAAGTGGATGGCCTGGGGTCTTCCAAAGAGGTGGTTGGATGAGAAGACACAGAATTAGGAAGAGGGGAACAACCTTCCCTCATTGTGCAGCCCTGAATAGATACACAAATATCAGTAAGAAACATGCATACATCATTTGCCCACAAAGGCCACTGCTTCATTAAATTGGAAGCATAGTGCATGCAGCACCTACTTCTGAATTGTGGGATACTTTGGAGTGTTTTGGGGTAAAAATGGCAGAATCAGCAGAACTCAACAGGAAGTCACAGCTTCACTTACAAGCAGGTTCTTCTTCCTTTGCTGGCTTTCGCCCGGATCTTTGTGGCTACTTCAAGCGAGGACAATGACAACAAAAGAACCTTCACTGTCACCAGCTTCCTATCCTGACATTGACACCCTGTGAATTACCAAGAGAGAGAGATATTGGAGGCTATCTCAGTAATGAGCATGCAGGAAGAGAAAGTGAGAATGAATGCAAGAACCATGGAAAGTTGTCATTTTGCAAGATGAAAATGCCCAGTTGTTGCAGCAGCCTGCTTCAGTATGTCATGCACTATATGACTGGTGATTTGAAGAAGTGACAGAACACTAGAAAGGAGAAAGAAGAGTCGATAGCTTGACCTGGATCTCTGCCATACCAGTCACTAATCCCTTACGACATATAAAATGCATAGGAAAAAAAATGTCTCGCTAATGATCGGATGCAATCTGCCCTATCATATTTTACACTTCTTGCAAATTCTTGCAAGAAATTGCAGTACAATTTCATTTATTTCTTTTGCAATGGGCAAATAAGTACCCCTGGGACACTCAGGTGGGAATCCCTGAAACATTTAAATATTATGGTGATAAATACCAGAGAGTCTTGGTGGGGAAGGTTCCTTAATTTTCCTATTGGAAGAATAGGAAGAATTGGAAGAAGTTGTAGGAGCATGCTTTGAGGTCTACAATAACTGAATTTTAAGGTTAATCTAAGAACCGAATTAAATTCAAACTGAAACTATTACAACTTAATATATGGATTTGTATCAATGTAAAATTTAGCGCTCTCTCTCTCCTCCCCCCTCTTTTGAGATCCTTATTTTAGATATTTTAGGTCCTTAGGCTTTATTTCTCTCTCTCCATATTTTAGATCCTTAGGCTTCATTTACTCCAGCAGAGAAATCTCATTTGCTGATTTATAATATGTCGATCATAGTTCTTGATATTCGTGTTTATCTTAGACTGTAGCAATGTTTAATCTTCTGAACAATATATTCAACAGCTATAACCTTTAGCCATTTTAATTCCTTGTTTATGTAGTTGTATTTTATCTCCATTTTTTTCTTTCTTTCTTTTAATCACTCTTTAAGTATCTTCTTTAAAATGTCTAACAAGACAGAGAAAGGCAGTTGCTTTCCGGAACCAATATCTCCATTCACAAAATTGGGGATGGGGATAATCACATATTGGCTGAATAGGGTGGCTCAGCCACCGTCCCTTTAATGCAAACCCTCAGGGTACCAATGGGACTAGTGGCAGGTACAATCAAAGCTTGATACCTGTAGCCCCATCCCCATATAAGAGGCTGAGTAGACCAAGGGTCATTCCCAGCAGATAAGTAAGAAAATGTCACTTTTCAGGGATTTCTCAGTGCTCCTGCGGCACATAAGTTTCCACAACGCAACTTGCGATCTCTTGGCTGGGCTACATCAATAAGGGATACTAGCAGGCTAAGACGCTGAGCTTGTCGACCAGAAAGGTCGGCAGTTCGGCGGTTCGAATCCCTAGTACAGCGTGAGCAGGGGGTTGGACTAGATGACCTCCAAGGTCCCTTCCAATTCTTGTTACTGTTAAGAGCGGCGGCCACAACGCCATTAGAGCCTTTAGTTTTTACGGAGAGGGAGACAAAGAAGACCCTGGTGGGTCAAAAGGAGATCCCGATCGGGAGAACACGATCCTCGGGCGGTGGGCTTACCTGTCCCTGCGCCCCGCGGCTCCCAGGGATTCCGCTCATCCGCGTCCCATCCACAACGCCTGCGAGCCTCCAAAACAGCCAATAGGAGCCTCAGCTCATCCTCGGACTACAACTCCCACCTCCTTTCCGCCGCTGATTTCCGGTGCGATTTAAAAGACCTCGCTAGGTGTCCTCAGCACTGCCGGGGATGGCTGAGCTTCCTTTCCTTAAGACCGACCTTGTTCAGTAGTGTTGATATAGATAGAGGCGACGGGGCATGCGCGGCCGGTCGGACGAAAGCCTCAGCTTTGCCGAAAATAACCCTTATGGGGTTTTTTTTTCTTCTCTCCCCATTCAGGCGTTTTCCAGAGACAGCCCCGGTCGCTTAGCAAATGACGCGTTCGCCGCGCGCGGCCTCGCATGCGGCGTCCGAAGGGCTTCCCTGCTTCGATGTCTGTGACCGGCTGCGCGCGGTTGCTTTCTCGGCTCCCTTCGGGCCAGTTCCGTTGCGGATGCCCTCTGGCTCTCCGGAACCGGGGCGGCGGCGGCGGCGGCCTAAACCGGGCCTCTTCTCTCCCCGCCACTGCGAGAATCGCCTTCTTCGCTTCCTCCAATGGCGACGAGGACACGGGCGTCAAAAGCCCCGACACGTCCTTGTTCGTCCCTCTGCAGGTCTCCCCGCAAACCTTCGCCCCGGAGGTCGACGTGGGAGCCGAGCTGACCAGCCCGCTGAATAAGAGTAAGCCAGAGGAGGAGGAAGAGGAGGAGGCCCGGCCCGTTTTCCCGCGCTTTCCCTCTTTGCGGCGGCATTTCCAAGGGTTGCCGGGCAGGTCGTGACCGCATAATTATTATTTTTTTGTAAATTTGATTTATATGCCGCCCTTCTCCGGAGACTCAGGGCGGCTTACAATGCGCTCAGCAATAGCCTTCATCCTTTTTGTATATTTATACAAAGTCAGCTTATTGCCCCCACAACTGGGTCCTCAATTTACCTACCTTAGAAAGGATGGAAGGCTGAGCCAACCTTGAGCCTTGGCGAGATTCGAACCTGCAGAAATTGCAGGCAGCTGTTCTTAATAACAGGGTGCATTAAACCACTGTACTGCCAAGGCTCATTGTACTGTACTACCAGTCATGGGTGGCCGGTGCTGACCGAGGGTCGACCGTAACAGGAACAGGGTTGGAGGTCATCTAGTCCAGCTGGTCTAGATGAGAAAATTTTATTTATTTATTTATTTATTTATTATATTTCTATACCGCCTTTCTCCCGTAGGACTCAAGGCGGTGTACAGTCAAGAAAAATATAGACACACAAACATCATAAAATAGCTAATTAAAATTATTACTTTATTTTTTATTTTATTTATTTATTTATTTATTTTATTTATTTATTTATTTATTTATTTATTATATTTCTATACCGCCTTTCTCCCGTAGGACTCAAGGCGGTGTACAGTCAAGAAAAAATAGACACACAAACATCATAAAATTGCTAATTAAAATTATTACTTTATTTTTTATTTTATTTATTTATTTATTTATTTATTTTATTTATTTATTTATTTATTATATTTCTATACCGCCTTTCTCCCGTAGGACTCAAGGCGGTGTACAGTCAAGAAAAATATAGACACACAAACATCATAAAATTGCTAATTAAAATTATTACTTTATTTTTTATTTTATGTTTTTATTTATTTATTTATTTTATTTATTTATTTATTATATTTCTATACCGCCTTTCTCCCGTAGGACTCAAGGCGGTGTCAAGAAAAATATAGACACACAAACATCATAAAATAGCTAATTAAAATGATTACTTTGTTTTTTTATTTTATTTTATTTATTTATTATTTATTTTATTTATTAATTAAAATTATTTTGGTGGTCTTCAGAAAAATTATTTGCATTTTTTATATTGCACTCAATCTATATTGCAAAGAGCCTTGGTAGTACCGTGGTCTAAAGCACCCTGTTATTAAGACCAGCTGCCTGCGATTACTGCAGGTTCGAATCTCGCCAAGGCTCAAGGTTGACTCAGCCTTCCATCCTTTCTAAGGTAGGTAAATTGAGGACCCAGTTGTGGGGGCAATAAGCTGACTTTGTATAAATATACAAAAAGGATGAAGGCTATTGCTGAGCGCATTGTAAGCCGCCCTGAGTCTCCGGAGAAGGGCGGCATATAAATCAAATTAAAAAAATAAATAAATCAGGGGTCCTCAAACTACGGCCCCTGGGCTGGATACATGCAATGAACACTTGTGTTACTGCAGAGAGTCTTCTCTTTGGGGTCTTTTTGTGTGGTTTGGAGGGGGGCAGAAATTCCCACTCGGGGTCTGCTTCGGCCTCCTGGTGCCGGGCTTTGGGTGAAGGCTGGAGGGAAGTGCCGCTGGTGGCGAAGAGCCGGAGGGCCTTGTTCCAGTGGGACTGCATCATGGCCTGGAACTGGCTGACCATCTCCTGGAGCCTCCAGGCGCCGGTACCTGGCCTTGCACTCCTGCTTGGAAAGCCTATGCTCCTAGTCCTCAGTGAGGTGTTTCTGCTGAGCTTCCTTGTAGGTCAGATCCAATTTGAACTGAGCCAGATGTTTTGCCAACTCTTTCTCATCGTGGCTGCTTAACTCCAACAACTGCTTCCTGTTGGGGCCCTAAGGAGCCCAGGCGGGCAGACAAGGAGTGGCGAGTAAAGACTGGCAAGGCGCCCCTCGACATGAGTGACATCAAGTTGGCCATGCCCACCCAGTCACATGACCATCTTGTCACACCCACCCATCCGGTCATTAGGCAGATCAGATTAGTGGTCCGCGGGATTTAAAATTATGAATTTAGTGGTCCCTGAGGTCCAAAAGGTTGGGGACCCCTGATCTAGTCCAACCTCCTGCTCACCATCCTTGAGCCTGGCTCGCTTTGGAGACCTGCTTGGGAAAGGCTGGCCTATGGGATGGGCCGGCCAGTACGGGTGGCAAGGGAAAGGGCTTCAGAGGAGGTGAAAAAAAAGCTCATCGGAGACAAAAAAACCCCCCAAACCGGGGCTTACCCAAGCAGTGATGGAACTAGACAGCAAAGTCATTAAGTGAGGACAACTTGAATATTAGGCTGGTCATCCTTAAAAGAAGGACGTGTTTTAGTGCTTTGGATCCAAAGGGTTAAAAAAGACATTTCGGAACAAATATGGGACACTCACATTGTGTGTGCCAGAGATGCCCCCTTGGCACCTTTTTCTGAGTTTACAGTAGTGGCCAAAATTGTGGAAACCTTTTGGGGAAAAGTGTATTTTCTAAAACTAGCTAATAACACCACTTTTTTTTTTGAGTAGTACCATAAAATTATATATTGATGGAAAGATAAAGAATGCAATGCAATAACTTTTATGAAGGATTTGCTATTAGAGTAGCAGTTACAGTATAAAGGAGAAAAGTGGAAACACGTAGAAAAAACAAGATATGCAAAAATGATCCCCCATGTCAGTTCATACTTAGTTGGGTAACCTTTAGCATGAATGATGGCCTTACAATGTCTTTCCATGGAGTGAACCAAGTCTTTTAGTTCTGCAACTATTATAATGTGAAACCAAGATTGAATGATGGCTTCTATTAACTGGGTTTTATTGCTGGGTCACTTCTAACTAATAAGTTTTTTTAGTCGGCTCCATAGATTTTCAATTGGGTTAAGGTCTGGGCTATTCCCAGGCCATTCCAGCAGTGGAATAGAATTATCTTGAAATTCCAACAAAAAAAAGTGGTGTTATTAGTCATCAACCCTCAAAAATACACTTTTCCCAAAAGGTTTCTACAATTTTGGCCACTACTGTATCAGAGCCGAGGTGGCGCAGTGGTTAGAATGCAGTACTGCAGGCTACTTCAGCTGACTGATAGCTGCAGTTCAGCAGATCGAATCTCACTGGCTCGAGGTTGACTCAGCCTTCCATCCTTCCGAGGTGGGTAAAACGAGGACCCAGATTGTTGGGGGCAATGTGCTGACTCTGTAAACTGCTTAGAAAGGGCTGTAAAGCACTATGAAGTGGTATATAAGTCTTAAGTGCTATTGCTATTGCTATCCTAACCATGCAATCCTTGGGAAAAGAGGTGCTTGCAGACAGAATGTGATAGAGCGGATTATAAGGCATGCTTTCAACATTTGCTCAATTCAAACATTTTTTTTTCTGGAAAAATGAAGCTATTGTGAGAGACCAGAAAGGACAGAGCTCCTTTAAAAGATGCTGACGGGTTTGATATATATGGCTTTGTCTTTCCCAAGGATCCTTTTCTGTGTTGGATCCAAAATGCTGCATATCTCCATTAAGTTTTGATAAAGATTCCTAACTCCAAATACGGATTTGTAATGAGAATTTGCATATTATACTTTAATCATGAAAGAGTTAATCATTCCAACCATATTATTATAAGTCAGTGTGTTGCTAATATAACGCGATGTAGTATATTTATAATAACATGGAAGAATGCTTTGTTGAACAAGAGAGAAAAACATAGTTACTTGGTTTCTCTAGTATTTTGTTTTAAATCACCACCCCACTGTCCTTCGTGTCCAATAAAAAGAAACTTACTTGCTAGATTCTGTAGTTTCTTGTAAGAGAAAACAGCAGAAATGACAAATTTCTTTTAGGACTGAATTCACCTAGTGTGAACTGAGGCAGTTTTTGTGCAACAGCTGCTTTCTTCCAAAGCTTTCTAAATAACATCAGAATTATTGAGGAAAAGGCTTCCCATGTATTGTTTGTTGATTCAGTAAGCATGATGCAGCCTATGTTTTGACTTCTAGATGAAGTATTGAAGACATTAAATAAATTTTGCAAGAGGAGAGAAGTTCAGAAACTGGCAGCAGAAAATGGACTGGATGGTATGTAATTCTTGGGGATGAATGAATGTTACTGGATATTTCTTCCAGTTGTTAGAAAACCACATGTTTAGATTTGATCTCTTTTTGCATGTTAAATTCTAAACTGGGGCAAGCACTGTTTTCTTCAATTGTGGCCTACTCTTACTGCCATTCCTTCCTCTTTGAGAACAAAGAGAGTCATTTGTGTCACTGGAATGGAGCGGATGAAGTTTTGACCTGTTTGGTGTTCGGCTCTTATTTACAAATTGGTTTCATGGAAGCTCTATGTTACCCTTTTGAGCCACGGTGGCACAGTGGTTAGAGTGCAGTATTGCAGGCTACTTCTGCTGACTGCCAGCTGCCTGCAATTTGGCAGTTCAGATCTCACCAGGCTCAAGGTTGACTCAGCCTTCCATCCTTCCGAGGTGGGTAAAATGAAGACCCAAATTGTTGGGCGCAATAGGCTGACTCTGTAAACTGCTTAGAGAGGGCTGTAAAGCACTGTAAAGTGGTATATACCGGTAAGTCTAAGTGCTATTGCTATTGCTTTTAAGCAGATCCTTCTTTTAAAGCTGGTCTTTTGTGACCAGCATTAAATATATTTGAATATTGCTTATAATACAAATGTAGTTTTAGGTTGTCAGGTTTCTAATCCGATTTGAAATGTCTTGAAGAGAATGTTAGTAACTAAATTCATTTGATTAGTCCTATTAAAAGCAATTACATAATTAAGTTTCATTGACACATGTTTTAAAATATTCTTGTTAAGATTTGATTCAGATTTTAGGAATTTTACATGTTACATGCAGTACTGAACTTAGGTTTGTGTTTTTTTTTCTTTATAGCTCGTCTTTTTCATCAAGTATTTATAAGTTTTAGGAAGTACATTATAGAGTCTAGTTTTCTGAATCCTGATCTGCACATTATTCTCAATGATATATGCTGTGGTGCAGGTAAGTGGATAATAGAACCATCTGCAATCTTTTGCTCTTCAGATATATTTTATGGGGTCTGATCATTTCCCCTTTATCATGGCCAAATTTATCAGGTCACTTAGATGCCCTGTGTTGGAGATGACTGATGTTGGGAGATCAAAACATTTCATAAGCATTGTCTTTTTTAAAAAGTCTCTTATTTATATAATTGAATAATAAATATTATTAGATACACAGCTGTTCATGAATGAATGAATCAAACTTATTGGCCAGTGAATAATACAATTTTATAGCAGAAATTATAGTTAGAAGAAAAACTAAAAGCCAGAGAAGGCTGATTAAACTTACTTAAACCCTAATGTTTATCTTCTGTTTGTTTGTTTTGTTATGTTTAATTTGGAGTAGTCATATTTTCTGATAGTCATGTGGAGATACTTTCCAGTTAATTTTTAGAGGTGTGAAAAATTGTATGCAGACAGAAATTGTGTAGCAAACTACAAATACCCTAAATGACATATTTGAATGTGGCGTACTTGTGATTTTTTTAAATGCATGTTTTTCCCTTTTATCCCTCAGGTCACGTTGATGATCTGTTTCCATTTTTCTTGCAACACTCTAAGCAGATCTTTCCTATGCTGGAGTGTATGGATGATCTACGTAAAATCAGTGATTTAAGATTGCCTCCAAACTGGTTAGATTTTTAAATCACCTATAGCTACTGTGTAATTATTATCATTTATATTTGTAATGAAACATATCAGATTTATAGGGGTGTGTTAATTAATGTAACTGAAATTATAAGGTGATTTTTACCTTTTTGAAAAGTTAGCTATTGGACTTGAGATTATGTAGCTTTATATTAAACATTTATATATTTTGACATTTCAATAATATGACTTCTCTGATGCTGGATACAGTTGGAGTAACTTCTGTTCAGTTAAGTTAGGTGTGCTTGAAATTAATGAGTGTAGGATTTCAATCCAGGTCTGGATTTACATGTTGCACTTAACCTGACATGGATGGCTTATGGCTTAGTATATTGTGTATGGCCTGTCACTGTTCATCAACATATTGTCACTTGGTGCAACATGCAAATTAATTTATATCTGATGCATATTCTGTTCAGAGTCTCATTTGAAATAATTACATATACACAATATATGTTTGGCTGTCTTAGCTTTAGTTAAAGTTTAGACATTTGAAAATTTGGACAAGTAAAACCGGCTTCTAAGCAGTTTCTTGTACTTGGGCTTAGTTTTGATGCAGAATTGCCTTGGTTCAACTTCCTGTACTGTTAAAACAGAAATACTCGTAAATAAGAGTACATAATTTGTTTACCACTTTTGCACGCAGTTTATTTGGTAAATTTTGATGGAAGTTATTTTTCACTTAAAATATTTCCAATAGATCAAACAACAGAAAAAAAACATAATGCCCTAGCAATCAGTGGCAATAATGAAATTTAATCAAATTCAGATTCTAAATAATGATGGCTTACAATCATAAGTATTTTTTTTTCTAAAATGTACTGAAAATAAAGTACTTAGAATACAGGCCATCCTCGATTTACGACCACAATTGAGCCTAACATTTGTTTGCTGAGCAAGACAACTGATAAATGAATTTTGCCCCGTTTTATGTCCTTTCTTGCCAGAACTGTTAAGTGAATCATTGCAGTTGTTAAATTAGTAACATAGTTAAGTGCGTTTGGGTTCCCTATTGACTTATTTATTTATTTATTTATTTATTTATTTATTTATTTATTTATTTATTGAATTTATATTGCCGCCTATTTGCCCAGTTACTTGTCAGAAGGTTGCAAAAAGATGATCACATAACCCTGGGACACTGCAACTATCATAAATACATAAATATGAATTTTGGTCACAGGGCTGGGGGGGACGGACGGACGCTGCAATGGTCGTAAGTGTGAAAAACGGGTCATATGTCCCTTTTTTCAGTGCCATTATAACTTTGCACAGTCCTTAAATGAATGGTTGTGAGGATTACCTGCAACCAAAGATGTCTTCATTAAAAAAAAATACATAGTATTTGAGAAATCATGTGAAATTTACAGTAGAATAAAATTCTCCTTTTTTGAGGGCCGAGCATGTTCTTAGGAAGGAAATTCAGAAGACATGTAGTAGTGTCTTCTGAATTTAGTAATGTTGTGACATCACCAGAAAACATATTTGAGATGGAATTTTAACCTTCAGTTTCAAAACAGCAACATAAGTTCATTTAAACCTGACAAAATCTTAAAAGTTTTCTTGTGTAAACACTCTGAAAAATTGCCTTGTCAAATGTTACCACTTCGGTACTGCATCTTGGCTCTCAATCTGGTATACTCCAGGGCAATGGTGAAATCCATTTTTTTTTACTACTGGTTCTGTGGGCATGGCTTGGTGGGGGTGGCAGGGGACGGATACTGCAAAATCTCCATTCCCACCCCACTCTGGGGCCAGCCAGAGGTGGCATTTGCTGGTTCTCCAAACTACTCAAAATTTTCGCTACCGGTTCTCCAGAATCTGTCAGAATTGGATTTCACCCCTGCTCCAGGGCAACAAAAAAGGATCTGGGGAGAGCTGTGTGTTATGCATCCCAGATGTAAGAAAAGACACAAAAGTGGTATTGAGGAAGAGAACAGCCTTGCTTTCTCCTTTTTTTCTCTTACCCCATTTCCCCCACCCCATTTTACCTAGGGGTGACTAATCCAGCTTGCTATTAAAAATCATCCTCCAAGTGTTACAGAGCTACACATTTAATGATGATTAAGTACGAATTCATATTACTTGATTTATTTTTACATTTCTACTTATGCGTTCTAGGTATCCGGAAGCCAGGGCCGTTGAAAGAAAGATTGTGTTTCATGCTGGCCCTACAAATAGCGGGAAAACCTATCATGCAATCCAGAGATATTTAAAAGCAGAATCCGGAGTGTATTGTGGCCCTTTAAAGCTCTTGGCTCACGAAATCTTCCAAAAGAGTAATGATGCTGTCAGTATGTCATTGAATTTCCATCTGATATTGCCTTTGTTGCAGTCATGCTGTTAACATGGAACATTGTTGGTGGTTTTAAAAAATGTGTGTTGTCAGTGTCTATCTGGAGTCCAAAAACAGCTTATAAGGTGGAGTGAAAAAAACACAGTTTTTAGGGACAGTAGGTGGGTTTTAAGGAGAGCCGCGGTGGCACAGTTGTTAGAGTGCAGTACTGCAGGCTACTTCTGCTGATCACCGGCTGCCAGCAGTTTGGCAGATCAAATCTCACCAGGCTCAAGGTTGACTCAGCCTTCCATCCTTCCGAGGTGGGTAAAATGAGGACCCAGACTATTGGGGGCAATATGCTGACTCTGTAAAACCGCTTAGAGAGGGCTGTAAAGCACTGTGAAGCGGTATATAAGTCTAAGTGCTATTGCTATTGCAGTATTTTTCAAGGGCATTCCTAATTTGGAGTCCGCTAAAGATAGCCCCAAAAATAGTGGATTTCAACTAATTGCATTGACCATTAGAAAGCTTTCACCACTGGAATGGGGAACATCCAATTGTCAGTGGTCTTCACTCTTTTCTATAATTTACTAATCCTCTCAGAAGTCTGCTCTGGAAGAATCCAAATCTTTCTGGACCATATTTTCAGAGAAAAAGAGATTTCTTCCACTGCATTCTAATAGTAGAAGTCTTTCCGGTGCAGGTTATGTGAATCCGTTATGTCACGTGACCACAGGTAGACCTCAGTTAACAACCACTTTCAGCAACCATTCACAGTTACAGTGAATGTACTTATGAATGGATCTTAAAATTACAGCCATCCCAGCACCCATACAGTCACATGAACCCAATCTGGGCGCTTGGCAACTAGTTTGCACTTAGGGCGTTGCCACATCCTGAGGTCATTTGCGACTTTCTCTACTGCCTTGCCACAAAAAAAAAAAAAAAAAAAATCAATGGAAAAGCAGGCAAGGAAGGTTGTAAGTCACTCTGGTAAGTCCCCCTCCCCCACACCTTTGGCCTCACTGCACTCACCACCCATCCACACACCTTCCCCATCCAGTAGTAGCCACTTACACGGGCCATCGGCCTGCTTGCAAGCATCCTGGGATTTGCAAGGAGGCCCTCGCTTAATGATAGCAGTGTTATTGTCCCTAAGCAAAGCACTAGTTGGATGCACACTTCTTCACAACTGCATCACATAGTGATGAAAATTTCAATCCCAATTATCATTGTTAAGAGAGGATTATCTGTGGTTTTGTTATCGCCTTCAAGTGCTTTGTTGGACTGCATTGTTTATGTCTTCAGTGTTCTACCATTGAGGGAAAAGTTTGATTATTTATTTTTTAATGTTGCAGAATGTACCATGTGACCTGGTTACGGGAGAAGAACGAGTCTGCATTGATCCTGAAGGGAGAGCAGCTGCCCACGTGGCTTGCACTATTGAGATGTGCAGCGTTAATACACCTTGTATGTATGCTTTTTTAAAAAAAAAATGTATTTAGTTTTGAAGTGCTTGTAATGTTTGTATACAAAATTGGCCAGAAGAGAAATTAAAATGAAGAGATGCCTGTTGTGGCCTGCCGGCGGCCAGCAGAGCTGGCAACAGAATCGGACAGTGAGGCGGTTGGGGAGGAATATGGGCCAGTCCTGGGGGCTGGGGAAAGCTCGGACGAGGGCTCTGCGTTGGAGGCAGAGAGGGAGCTAGACAGTAGTGAGGCAGAGGAACAGCTGGAGCCTGTTTCCAGTGTGCGCATGCGCAGAGCTGCCAGAAGATAAGAACAACTAAGAAAGCAGGGTCAACTTGTGAGTAAAGCCACACCTTGAAGGTGATTGGCCCCTCCCATAGGAAACAAAAGAGGAGTGAACGGGCTTTTGCAGAAAACAATTTTTTTAAAAAAAAAATTTAAATTTGATTTATATGCCGCCCTTCTCCGGAGACTCAGGGCGGCTTACAATGTGCTAAGCAATAGCCTTCATACTTTTGTATATTTATACAAAGTCAGCTTATTGCCCCCACAAACTGGGTCCTCAATTTACCTACCTTAGAAAGGATGGAAGGCTGAGTCAACCTTGAGCCTGGGGAGATTCGAACTAGCAGTAATTGCAGGCAGCTGGATGATAATAACAGGCTATTAGTCTGCTGCGCCACCAGTTTGTGGCGCAGAACAAACACCAATTTGTTTGTTCCGTGACTCTGAGAGACTCTGTGCCATGTTTTACCTTATACTGCGTTTGGAAACTAGTTACTTGGCAGCTTTCCAAGCGAGATAAGGTCTGTGTTGATAAATATTCCTTTGAAAAACTGTTTGGATAGGCTTTGATGACTGTGAATGAAAGGAATTCACAGTTGTGTAAATAAAAGGGGTTTTGCCGGGACCGAGACTTTGCTTCCTGCTTTTTAAGGAAGCCTAGGTCAGAACAATGCCCATTTCAAATGCTTCATTATGGAAATGCCTCTTATTCCTGTAGTGAGAGTTTATGAATGTTACCAAACTTTTAAATTTGATAAATAAATGACTCTTTTATTCCATGCTGTTCTTTAAGATGACGTGGCTGTGATTGATGAAATTCAGATGATCAAAGATCCTTCTAGAGGCTGGGCCTGGACACGAGCACTCTTGGGTATGTCTTTGGAGAGTTTATTATTACCAAATGGTGTTACCTTAATCCATATTGTATATAATTCTCAGTGTAGTGTTCTAGAGCAATCTTCCCAAGTTTAAAGTTCTCCAGGTTTGTTCAGAGTACATTGGCCAACACTTTCAGTCATGAAAAAAATCCCACAAGTTTGGATACCTTAGATAATCTAAGAATTCATCAGATTCCAAAACTCACAAAGAACACATAAGAGTTACTTCTGAGTATCTATGAAGATTCTCAGTCATCCAGATCATGGTTGTCCCAAAGGTGCTTTTTCAAGAGGAAATTGGACTTTCTGGTTTTTCTTCGAAGACGTTTCGCTGCTCATCCAAGAAGCTTCTTCAGCTCAGAAAGTCCAGTTGCCTCTCGAAAAAGCATCTTTCGGATTACTTCTGAGTAGTTTATTGTTGTTTGCCTACCAACAGAATCTTGCCAGACTAAAACAATCAATCTGCATAACTATAGATATAGCCTGAACTGCTAGGGCGGTGCATCTTATCTCTCTTATTATCTAGCAGACAATCCAAGCTCCGCTGCCTTTTTGCCCCCTGGGGAAAAGCTCTTCCTCCTGGGACTGCATTCCACCACAGAATGGCTGGCTGGGGAATTTTGAGAGTTGGAGTCCACGTGCCTTAAAATTGCTGAGGTTAAGAAACACCACTATAGACAAAGCATTTTGTTCCGTGAAAATAATTCTGTAATGCTTGCAACATCATTATTTTGTTCAGGACTTTGTGCAAAAGAAATCCATGTTTGTGGCGAAGAGGCTGCTATTAACTTAGTGATGGAGCTCATGTATACGACAGGGGAAGAGGTTGAGGTAAGTGCTCGGCTTCGCTCTCTGTATGTCCAGGATAAGTAAGGAGGCCCAGTGGGTGGAGCTGCAGGGAAATTGTGTGTGTGTGTTTGTGTGTCATTCGTTTTCCTGGAGTTTGGGAGGTCATTTTATTTATTTATTTTATTCAATTTGTATACCGCCCTTCTTCTAGTGGATTCAGGGCGGTGCACAGCCAGAACTAAAACACATACCAATACAAAATTTAAAATTATTAAAAGAATTACATACTTTGGCCCAAATTTAAAACAATTCGAATTAAAACCCATTGACAAATTGAAAGCTAAAAAACTAAAAAAGGGGGGAGGGGTTAAGTGTTTTTCAGTCTTTCCCTTTTTTCTAAACTATATCTTGTACTGTAGGGCTTATACTATGGTGTTAATGTGTTTCCCACTCAAAGTAATGGTAATTATATTTCTGATTTTGAGTAATGATGGACAGAATGGAGTCTTAGGGTTGCAAAAAAAAGTGGCTCAGGATCTTCCAACACTTTGGAACCTCATACAGTCCCAATTTAGTGTGCAGACTTCTTCCAATTGCTTTTCCTTAAGAGAGAAAATAAATGAAGTATATGAAAAGTCATCCCCTCCACCAACAGTTTGTATCCTTAAAGCTAAATTGCTCGGTAATATTTACTGTATATGCAAATTATACAGTGTTTTTAGACCACAGGTGTCAAACGTGATCGCGTCATGTGACGTATCGCGACATTTTTTTTGCCATTGTGGAGCCAGGGTGGGTGTGGCCTGCGTGTGATGCATCTGACCCACGGGCCAAAAGTTTGACACTTTTGTTTTGAGCCATGGTGGCGCAGTGGTTAGAGTGCAGTATCGCAGGCTCCTGCTGACTGCCAGCTGACTGCAATTTGGCAGTTCAGATCTCACCAGGCTCAAGGTTGACGCAGCCTTCCATCCTTCCGAGGTCAATAAAATGAGGACCCAGATTGTTGGGGGCAAGAGGCTGACTCTAAATCCCTTAGACAGGGCTGTAAAGCTCTGTGAAGCGGTTATAAATCTAAGGGCTAAGTGCTATTACTGTCTTAGAGTCTTATTTTATTTTCTCTATATTGGCCGCTATTGAGAAACATCTAGAAATGTAATTTAATTTATATTTATTTATTTCATTTATTTTATTTTATTTCTATACCGCCCTTCTCCTGCGGGACTCAGGGCGGTGTACAGCCAAGATAAAACATTGCATATAAAATTTAAAAACAATTTAAAAACAATTAAATAATTTCAGCCCAAGATATTAAAAACAACCCAATTAAAACCGAATTCAATTAAAACTGAGGGATGGGATCAAGCCAGCCCGGCTAGATGGAATAGGTGTGTTTTCAGGGCCCGACGAAAAGTCTGGAGGTCTGATATCGTGCGTATCTCAGAGGATAGGTCATTCCAGAGGGCGGGTGCTGCCACAGAGAAGGCTCTCCCCCTGGGGGTTGCCAGCCGACACTGTCTGGCCGACGGCACCCTGAGGAGGCCCCCTCTGTGCGAGCGAACCGGTCGGTGGGAGGCTATTGGCGGCAGAAGGCGGTCTTGCAGATACCCCGGCCCTAAGCCATGGAGCGCTTTAAAAGTGGTTACCAACACCTTGAAGCGCACCCGGAAGACCACAGGAAGCCAGTGCAGCTCGCGCAGGAGAGGTGTCATATGTGAGCGCCCCGTCGCTCCCATATGATTTTGAGGTTACCTCACTCCAAAAAAATCTGAATTCTGAAATTCACTTAGAAGTGAAACCCACAAAGGGAAACATGGTTCTCAAAGCAGCAGTTTTTATTAATGACTGAAGCAGAAAGTAATTTCTAGTGAATATACTTGCCCCCAATGTGCTGTCTCCTTCCCTATCCAGCCACTAAGAAAAGCCATTCACCAATTGTTGAGTCCCATATTTGTTTCCTTTGATGTCAACACCTCCATTTGTTACAAAGGTGTTGCTAGATGGCCTGCTTAGGATGAGGAGCTAGTTAAGAGTCCTTCGCTTTTAGTAATTGTTCTTACAGCCTGTGATCAAGTTCAAGCTGAGAGCCTTTTAGGGTCAGAGGTTGTCGCCCATTCAGAACCCCTTGACTAACCAGTGTCTTTTGTTCAGTATTATTGTGTTCTAGTTATGGCTATAAACAATATTGTATGTTTATAGGTGAAAAGGTACAAAAGGCTTACTCCCATCAAGGTTCTGAGTAAGGCTCTTGAATCCCTGGATAACCTTCGCCCTGGAGACTGCATTGTTTGTTTCAATAAGAATGACATTTATTCAGTGAGTCGGCAAATTGAATTCCGGGGCTTGGAATGTGCAGTCATATATGGAAGTCTTCCACCTGGTACATATTCTAAATATTTTGGGGTGAATGATAATGTGGGAAATACTTCTCACTGTAATTATTATTGAAAAGTAGAATTGGTAGGGTTGACCTTTGTTTACTAAATTGTTCAATATTTCTACATCTGATAGTTTAGGTGTATTCTTTGTTTCTTTATCTTTGGAATTTTGTAGTGTTTACATCCACTATTTGTTTCATTTATTGATTCTTGAATTAACTGCTCCTTATTTAGGCAGCAGCCACTTGAAGATAATAATATGCACCTCAGAGTATTCCTTTTGTTTTAGTTCCTTCTTTAAAAAAGTTCTCTATTATTGTGTATGAATTGTATTTTCTGAATGGGTTGACATAATCTTGGAGATTTGTATAGATATGCAGAATGATTCCTTGTAAGATGTAAGAGTGAAACACCAGGGATATACCACTCTAAAACATCTTTATTTCATGCTACTCCAAAACCATAATAGAATTAGAAAATATTCCCAGAAGGCATTTAGTTCAAATTCCTATCAGTATAAACATTTTCCTACTATATATTGGCATGTGCAGTGGTGAAATCCAAATTTTTTACTTACCGGTTCTGTGGGCGTAGCTTGGTAGGCGTGGCAGGGGAAGGATACTGCAAAATTTCCATTCCCACCCTACCCCAGGAGAAGGATACTGCAAAATCCCCATTCCCTCCTCACTCCTGGGGCCAGCCAGAGGTGGTATTTGCCGGTTCTCCGAACTACTAAAAATTTCCGCTACTGGTTCTCCAGAACCTGTTAGAACCTGCTGGTTTTCACCCCTGGGCATGTGGCAACATTTCCTCTGTTTAAAAAGTTTTTAGAAAATGACTTTCTTTCCTCGGCTGTCTCTTCCACAGACAAACAGACCAGCTTCTCCTATATTGCAATATTTTTCTTAATCTGAGGTCATCTTAAAGAGATATTAGTAGTATGAACTGGCAGTTCTTTGTGGCTTGTTGCATAGCCACTATAAATTCAATAATTTGAGAACATTTAGTTATTAGAAACACGTAGTGCATAAATGTACGTATGAGTGTACGTGGACACCACCAGACAGATACTATCTCTGTGCAAATGCAGAAGATGTGACATACTTTGTAGTCGCATAGCATAGCTGGCCCTTATGCAGTTTTGGATGCTGCATTCTTTCCACCATCTAATTAAAATGTCAGCTTCAGAAGGGAATTTTTAAAAAGTAAATATTATAAATCTTAAGTAAAAGTAAGTATTCAGATCCTTTTTGTATTCGGGACTTCATCCGTTGTTCTGATTGTTTCAGGAACAAAACTTACCCAGGCAAAGAAGTTCAATGATCCGGATGATCCATGTAAAATCATGGTTGCCACAGATGCAATTGGGATGGGTCTCAATTTGTAAGTACATTAGATAAATTAAAAATGATCTCTTAGTGAAGCCAAAGTATTGATAGAACCAGAAAGAGTTTGATAGTTGTAAGGCTCCTCTTCACCAACTGAGGAAGCCAAGAGCTGTGAGATAGTAATTGTATTGTAATGTCCTTACTTGGGTGGGCTTCCTTTACATTGCAGATGACCCTGTGGAGGCTTCAGTATTGGGCAGAGCTCTGTTACCTCCCTCACAGTCCCCTAGCAACTTTTCACAATTTACATTTTTGGTTGGTAGTTAACGTTAGCTCGGCTAGGATCACATTTGGAGAATCACATTGTTGCAGGGGTCTGCAACCTTAAACACTCAAAGAGCCATTTGGACCTGTTTCCCAGAGAAAAGAAAACACTGGGAGCCACAAAAATCTTCCCATGCCTGACTATTTCTTGAGCGGCCACAAAACTAGCATATGTAGTTGAATTAAACATTCTGTTTTCTTCTGAAACTTTTCTTTTCTTGGATTTATCCATGGTTGGCCTACCGGGGGTTGAAAAGCTCCATAAATTGCGTGCCGGTGGGTGTCCCACATTGGCAGTTGTGACGCATATTTTGAGTGATGAGCTGCAGCAGAGAGGTGAAAGAGCCACATGCTGCTCCAGAGCCGCAGGTTGCTGACCCCTGCATTGTTGTCATGCAACTATATTAATTTGTGTGACTTTGGTGTTCGTTATCTTTATTCTAGGAGCATAAAAAGGATCATTTTCAACTCCCTAATAAAACCACAAATCAATGAAAAAGGAGAAAAGGAAATAAATAAAATTACCACTTCCCAGGCACTACAAATTTCAGGCCGAGCTGGCCGATTTAGTTCTGCATTTAAAGAAGGGGAAGTTACTACGATGTATGCAGATGACCTCATTCTGCTAAAGAAGATTTTGAGTGAGCCCGTGGATCCTATAGAGGTATATTAATCAACAGACTGAGCTTGTTAAATTCGTTTTACGGTTCTTGGATAATGAGCCTGCTCTGAATGTGCAACACAGTATAGGTCTGTGAGGGTGAACCTGTGGCACATGTGTCAGAGATGGCACGCAGCACCCTCTCTGATGGCACGCGAGCCGTCACCCCAGTTCACCTCTGCCGCACATGTGCGCGTGCCTTCCACCGGCCAGCTGGTCTTCGGGTCTCTGCCGCGTATGCTGCAGAAATAGGAACTGAGCACCTGTTTCCTGAACAATATACAAGCACCTGATTGGACATTTGTAGATAATCGGGGGATTGCTAGGGTGGGGAGCGGGGAGAGGGAACTTTCCTTTGTGCCATTTGCACAGGAAAGCCTCAGATTTGGCTTACGCTGCTTCTGTAACCATTTAAGCTTCGGTAAAGTATACTCTTGGCAAAACAAATGGCCAGAAGTCTTTCTTTGCTAGATGACTTGAGTAGGACGGTTGACGAGTAGCTTTTTTAAATACTCATAAATTTGAATGATTATTAAATAACCAACTGTAAGTAAAGGACTGTCCGTAAGCACTAAATAGATATTCTGCTACGGTGCTATAATTCCCTTGGGATTGTGGGTTGAATAGGCTCAGGGAACCAGTTGAGAAAACCAATGTGAATTGGAATGCAATACTTGCAGATGAAGTAGGAAAACTTCCATCAACAGAACACATTGAGAATGAGGACATTTCCCTTTGTGGAAATTACGGCTGCTTTTTATCTAGAGGGGTGCAGAGTATTTGAAAGGTGTATCCCAAAACAGAGAGGAGCAGCAACAGGGGTCTCCTTCAGGTCTTTAAAGCAGCCCCATAATTTGTAATCCTTACAAGCAGTGGTGGGTTTCAAAAATTTCACTACTGGTTCGGTGGGCGTGACTAGGTGGGGGCATGTGACTGAGTGGGTGTGGCCAACTTGACGTCACTCATGCCCACACCCACTCAGTCACATGGCAACACCCCCACCCCCAGGCATGCCGACAGGAAAAGGTAGGCAAATTTTTGGAATTCTACCCCCGCCCTCCCTTTGCCAGTCGCCCCTGTTTCCCCTCCTTTAGTGGCCCCGGTCCTAGCCCCACTTCCTCCCCCACCACCGCCTCTTTGTTCGGGCTGGTCCAGAGTCCAAAAGGCAAGCTGACCAGTTTTCAGCGGCCTCCAGCCAGCCACAGCTGCTGGAAAGCGGCTGGCAAAGAAGCCTCTTTGAGAGCCACTTTTCGGCTGTGGCAGCTGGCCACAGGCCACCAAAAATTACCAGAGGTCACAGAAAAAGCTTCTGCCATCGCCACCATGTTCTTTGCGCATGCGCATCCCATTGGACTTGCAAGGCAATGGGATGCGTGTGCATGAACATGGCGGTGATGAACATGATGGGCGGGGTGAGCGAGTGACGACCGGGGGACAGGTTCGGGGGTGTGGCCAGCTGGCCATTGCTACCGGTTTGGCAATCTTGACCAAATTTCCACCAAAGGTTCGTGCGAACCGGCTGAATACCAACTGCTTACAAGGCTGCAGGGTTGCATGAGGTTTAGCCAAAAATGGCAAGATGGCGGCCACACTGATATGATAGAAGCTCTGCCTGGTTTTATATGTGTGTTATAGTTGCCATTTTAATGCAACAAATGCTAAAAACTTCATAAATTGTGGAAAAATGACGCTCCCTTTCTTTCTTTTCCCCCTCCAGGCTGCTGGCTTGCACCCCACAGCTGAGCAGATTGAGATGTTTGCATACCACCTTCCAGGAGCCACTCTGTCAAATCTCATTGTAAGAATGGAAAAGCCTCTTAGCTTTACCTTTACAGCAGGCAGCTGTTCGAGTGCTGCTTTACATAAGCTGGGACGTGCTAGGTGTTTTAGGCTCACGTCATTTTCTATCCACGCAATCTTCCCAAAACGGGACTATATTTATCTTGGTTTTTGCAGCTGACTAAAAGCCAACAGCACAGATTCAGTGCCAATTAGAACTCGTGACCAGTGGATGTGTGTCAGGAATGGTTGACCCTTAGGCCATACACAATCCTGCCACCTTATGCATATTGCTTCCAGAACTCCCTTAAATCACTTTTTCTTGCAGTTTCCCCTCCTCTAAATTACATGCAATAAGATTTTGATAGACTCTGTGTGTCCTGAATTTATTTTTTATATAGAACTACCTTTTTTTTCTTCTGGATTAAACTCTTACTGTAGTCAGAGTTACATTTTCCCCCAGAGGCTTAACACTTCTAATTTTAAGTGATGGTTTTGTTTTATCTAGGACTGGGACACCCATTGGGTCTTCATTGCATCTGCTGGACTTTCATTCACTTTTCTTTCCAAACTGATATCTAAGCCAAATAGCGCTTTCCACATTCAGAAGCCCCTAACGCTGGCAAGATTTAATGCCTCCCACCACTTGTGGGAAATTATGGGGGTTTCCATTTGAACGAAGGGTTACCCCTGTAGTGAGGCAATTCCTGATACATTAACCCGTGTTTTGCCATATTGCTCTCATGAGAAAGATGCCTGGAAATGCATGAATCCATTTTATTTGAGCTTGTTAACTCTGTAGGAAATGGGATAATTATTAGATTTTACTGTGGTTTTCCTTATGGTCTCACAAGGTTGCTTTCTGTTTTGGGGAGATGGGTTTGGGAATGGGTGGATTGGTTGTTGTTTATTGACCTGATCTATAAAGGTTAGTGTAATAAAATATCTACTCCGCTTGTCCACATGTATCAAATGGCCTACGTTGGATCACTGCTTTCCTGGTCACTTGTCAATAGACCCTTCCTTCCTACTCATCAGAAATAAACCTCTTCTTAAGTTTAGCCTGCCCACAGTAGCTAACTACACGGCATCTTTGCATTCTGGCTTTGGAATGATACACATTCTACAGATCTCACCTTTTCATCCACCATAAAATACATTTTTTTAATGGGAAAAACTTGTGGAGGAAAGAAAACACTAAAAAGTGTACGGCAGGGGTGTCAAACTCGATTTCATGGAGGACTGCTTCAAGGTTGTGTTTGACCTCGGGGAGGGGGCAGGGGGGCTGTGGCCAGCTCAACATCACTCGTGTCGGGGGCGCCTGTGGTGGCCTAAGTGCTCTGCCAGTGAAAAGGGGCTCTTGAGCTCTGTTTTCGGCTGCAGTGGTATCCTGCAACCGTCTGCCAGCAAAAACAGAGATGGGGAGGGCTGCTTTCAGCCCTCCCCAGCTCCATTTTCACTGGCAGAGGCACCGCAGGTCGGTCCTTTGCTGTTTATAGGGCAGCTCCACAGGCCAGTTCTAAGCACCTTGCAGGCCAGATCTGGGCCCCAGGCCTCAAGTTTGATGCCCCTGGTATTCGGGAAGGACCAGATTATAAAACACTTGAGTAAGAGAACCAGGTTTCTGATAATTTTGTGAGGAGGGAGGGATTGGAAAAGAGAGTTTCAAGTTTACTGGTCTACGAATCTTCAAAAAATTTTTACAGAGCTGGGATTTTGTCTAATGAATTATTTTTTTAAACAGGATATTTTTGTGAGCCTCTCTCAAGTTGATGGACTCTACTTTGTCTGCAATATTGATAACTTCAAATTTTTAGCCAAAATGATTCAACACATTCCACTCCATTTGAGAGCAAGATATGTATTTTGCACAGCTCCCATTAATCAAAAGGAGCCTTTTGTGTGCACCTCGCTCTTAAAGGTAACTTGCACCTGTGTTTTATAATATTTTTAGTTTTTTAGCATATTTCCCTGGAGGAGCCTATCTAAGCTCCCAGTATGCCCGAACAGTAGATATGCTTGTATTATATGCATGTGTGTGCTTTGTTGTAGTGGATCAAGATATCCCTGGCAATGACCTCTCTAGCATAATCATTTGGTGGAGCAAGGAGATTTCCTAGTCTTATTTACCAGTTTAAATACATCTTTCCAAAATGTTCTTTTTTTTGCTTCAGTTTCCTAAGCAGCAACTGCAAAATCTCTTTGTCGGGGACAACTTTCGTAGATTTCATTACAACCATAGAAGTGGATTGAGTAATGAACAGCTTGCCCTGTCTCTGATTTTATGTTTATAGATTTGATTGTTTAGTTGAGAATAGAACGCAACCCAGCATAATTTGTTGATTCACATATTCGCCTATATGTGTGTGAGATCAGATACTGTTTTTGCACTAATGGGGAAAGACATTACTGGACGATCATATAACCCACCTTAGTTTCTCAGAAATTGAGTGTTGGCTAAGACACTGCATCAACTGAAAGGCCAACTATAACTGCTAATGAGGATTAGCAGATTAGATATCTGATTTGATCTCTCAACTGACAATTTGAGCAAAGTTTCTGTTCCACGAAGCATAAGAAATTGTCAGAAGCTTTCTAGAAAAGCAAGACGGACAATTGTTCCCGGTTTTAGAAGGATTGGAACGTTCACCGTTTTCTTTTTCTTCCAATGTCTAAGAGAACATACTAAGAGAAAGGAAGTATTTTGCTGATCCTTTGAAAAACTTTGAAAAACTGTAAAATGTTTTGCCTGTTTATTTAAGTTCATGTTTGGGAATTGCTTTCCTTGCTTGCGCATGGTTGTTGCAGAGAGTGTTTGGCGATGTGAGGGCATTGCCGTGGAAATATTGTTTGGCCTAATTGTCTCTTTTTGTGTTCCAGTTTGCACGGCAGTTCAGCAGGAACGAACCTGTGATGTTTGATTGGCTCTGCCGACATATTAACTGGCCCCTGGTCCCACCCAAGAACATCAAGGACCTTGTCCATCTAGAAGCCGTTCATGATGTTCTTGATCTATATCTCTGGCTGAGGTATTGGAACGGAAGATTGGTTCTCCCCTCCCCCACTTCTTAAGGGGCCAGTTTAGGAAATTGTCTTCTGTTGGGAGAATCTGCCCCAATGATACACTTTTCCTATGATAATATATAACTTTACAGTGCTGCAGGGAACTTTTTTGTGTGAATATCCATCTTTGCCAAAATGTCTGTGACATCTGTCTCTCTCCAGTTCCTATTCTCCAGGAATAACTCCCGCTGGACTCTTGATTCTTGAAGAAAATAGGCTCTTTTGCTCAGATTTATCCCATCTTTTATGCTAATCTATACAGTAGTCCCCATTTAGCAACCATACCAGAACTGCCAACTTGGTCTTTACTTAGTGAAACTGTGACTAGTTATGGTTTTACTTCAGCTTTCCCTTTGCTTTATAGACTTGCGAAGGTTGCAAATGCAACGACTTGTCATAAAATTAGTTTTTCTTCACCATTGTAATTGCAAACGGTCGCTGAATGAGTCAGTCGCTAAATGGTACCTGTACAATACTTAAATTGTCAAGCTTTTCCTTTATTTAATTTTGAAACAAAATATTGCATGCCACAACCCTATTGTTGTAGACTTTTGAGAGGACAAATACAGTTGCTTGTATTAATGAGCTAAGGGCCTAGGACCCACATTTTTGTAACTTTGGAGTTTGGTCAGTACTAAATTCTGTCAAGTGATGCCCCCCTAATAAAGTATTTGTAGACCCATAGAGAAATGATTTGATTTCCCAAGAACTCCCATTCTCAAGTTGACTCTACACTTGTGTGTATGTGTTTTTTTTAAATACAGTTACCGGTTTATGGACATGTTCCCAGATGCTGGACACGTGAGGGCGATTCAGAAGAAACTGGATGACATCATACAAATCGGAGTGTTGAATATTACGAGACTGATTCAAGCTTCCCAAGTCACTTCTGAGGCAATGGGTATTCCTGTTGAGAGCCTCAGAACTGACGACAGGCTCCCGCATGGAGAAATGACAGAGATTTCCACAAACAAAGAGATGGCCCCCGGCCCCCGCAAAGCAAGAGGACCTAAAGCCAGGAGCTTACAGTCTGCGGACGCGCACTTGGGCACCCTGGGCCAGATGAAGGGTCCTCTGACTGAAAGACTAATACAACAGGGGCTCCTCAGCAAGGAAGTGCTGAAGCAGTTGGAGAAGGAATGGCTCGCTCAGCAGGATGCTCATCCTGAAGTTAATGAAAACAGGAGCTCAACCAAACACAAAGAAAAAAAGAAATGAAGTGACGCCTTTGCTTAAATAAAAAAAAGTAGTTTTTTAAGTATTTGTGTTCTGATCTTACACAGAATTTTTAAAAATGTCACTACAAACGGGGAGATCTGTGAGTTTTGGGCATCTTCATAAATGCAACTTCACCAGAAGCCAACAAAACTGCAAGGGATTTTCATCTTAAATTGAAATGAGAGATCAGAGAGCACGACTATAATAAGGAGAAAAGGAGAAGTTAGGTCTCAAACCACTGAGGGATTGCAATGTGGGCATAATACAGGTAGTCCTCAACTTACGACCACAGTTGAGCCCAAAATGTATGTTGCTAAGTGAGAAACTTGTTAAGTGAATTTTGGCCCTCTTTATGGTTCATCTTACCACATTTGTTAAGTGAATCATTGCAAAGCTAGCTGAGGAACTCTGGGAGTTGAAATCCACAAGTCTTAAAGTCTTAAAGGTTGGAGACTCCTGATGTAAACTCCAGCTAGGAAATTCTGTCAAAAGAGCCTAAATATTGCTTTAACATTGACTGGTTAGCACTGAGTCATGTTTGGGCTTGTTCCATAACAATGGAGCTTAGCTCATTATTGCTTCCTCAGAATACATAGTTCAGCAGATAAAAAGCATTTTAAATGCTAATATATAACTTGACCAGAAATCAGATTAGTAGACTGGCCACTTGGTTGATACCTACTTTGGCAGAGAAATCGGCATTTTTAAAGTCTTCCACATGAACAATTATATTTGGGGGTGGAGGGAAATACTTTTGAGGGGGAAATCATAATTATACCTAATAAAGTCCTCTGCCTTTTAAAAACACTTTCAGACTCAACTCAGTATGTAAGTTTGAAACAAAAATTGTGTTTGTGATCTTTATCAAATGTTTTTAGTATGAATGCATTTAAATCCAGAAAAAAATTCGGAGATTTTTGAAAATTATGCATGTTTTACTGTATATATGCATATAAAATGAGGGTGTGAAGGCAACTCTACTCATCAATTACAATTGAGAGAATTTCCACTTTCAGGAGCAATCTTAAACTGGTAGTTTTGTGACATTAACCCCTTTTAAATTTTGCTTTGGATTTCTGACAAGAAAGCACGTGGGCTGTGCAGTTGGGAAATATAAAACGAAAGCTTTGTATTCCAGTTCTTTTTAAGAACTAAAATGCTAACTCTCACATTTCTGAGATTAGCATTTCATTCATGAAAGGTTTCCCACAGTGTCTCCATAGTAACATCTATAAGCCCTTTGAAGTTTGTTCAGGTGATCTGAAATCTAAGTGAAGGTCACCTCTAATGAGGTGCATGAATTAGACTCAAGGAAGACTGCCCATTTCATGGGCCATCAATGAATTGGGTGCACTACTATGTTAATCCCCCCTTTTTAAAAAAAAAAAATCTGGAGTTACTTCGCACAGAACAGAAAACTGCTTTCTGTTTGTTAGGATTCAATAGTACGAGGGATTATCACATCAGAGGCAGGTTTTGAATTTGTGTTCAGTGGAAGAGGGTAGAATGTGGCAAATGCAACTGGAACTTTTGTAGAGCAAGCCAAGAGAAATGTTAAAATTAGTCAGACCAACCGAAGAGTTCGTTCTTTTCGCTTGTCTGAAATTTATAGGATATAAATTTATTCTAATCTTCTCTGTTAGCGAAAGGGACGACGACTACTAAAATTAATTCCCTGCTGAAAGAATCTGCTACGGTATTTATAATATTGGGAGGCTTGCAAATAGCTGCTCTGCTCTTTGGCAAAGTTGCCAACTTTGAGAAACACTGCTTGGGGATTAATTTCTGCAATTCTGATAACAGTACTATATGTTTTTTTAGAGAGAGTGCTGCCATTGCGTCGTCTTGTCTATCCTGTTGTGTGCCTTGACTCAGCTCACCCCACCGGGATGGCGTATTTAGGAACTTGGGCACCCTGCTGCCTTCTTCCAGAAGCCATAAGAACAAAGAGAAGCATGTTTGATTGGCATGGTGGTGTACTACTGTTGCCCAGTGATGGGATTATGAGGTCGCTGGTGGACAATGAATCTCTTTGTCTGCAGGCAGTTGTGTGGCAGGGGCCCTCACATGAAGAGAGAAAGCAGAGAACAAACTGAAATTATGTCTCCGCTTGAGCCAAATGTCACTATGAGGGAATGTTGAGATTACTTTGCACATCTTTTGTAACTGGACCCAGCTATCACGAGAAGTCTGGAGTCTCCTGAAGCAGGACTTCCTCTTAAGTCACTGGAATGCTTAATTGGGAAGCATCGCTTGTCTTGACTTGCTAACGGGTGTCAAACTCATGGCAGCGTCACATGACGTATCGGGACTTTTCCCCCCCTTGGCGAAACCAGGGGTGGGCATGGCCAGCATGTGACACATTGGGCCTTACAGGCCGGGCGTTTGACAGCTCAGGTCTAGAACAATGTTTTTCAACCTTGGCAACTTCAAGATGTTTGGACTTCTCCATGTTGGCTGTGGAACTGCAAATTGAAGTCCACCCATCTTAAATGTCAGCATTGAAAAAATGATCTAAAACAATGGAAAGCAACATCTATGTCCTTAACTGTCTGTAGTTTTCTCTATCCAAAGGGATTATTTTGGAGCGGGGTGGGGGGGAATACATATGCGAATACGTACAATTACAGGATCATCTGAATAGTAGGGTTTGAAGAAGTCAAGATGGCAATCGTGTTTGTGTGATCAAAGCCTTGCCTCTTTAATACATGTGTTGCCCAAGGGACAGGTAAAAAAATGAGATGGGGGCTTCAGTTGTGCAGTCACAGCTTCCACCTTGACTTTTTAAACCCCTTCTGCAAACAGACACCCGAAAAATCTTGGAAAAGACATGTGATCACAGCTTTAATAATCCTCGCTTAGATGATGGCCATATCTGATTTCAAAGACTAATGTGGGATTGGCTTTGGCTTTGTTTTGCAGCTAATCCCAGATTTAAAAGCCTTGTGCTGGTCCTCATGCTGGCTTGGAATGAGGGATATTGTAGTCCTGGTGGCTCAGCAGACTGATAGCATTGTGATTAACACCAGCTGTCTGCAATTACTGTAAGTTCGAATCTCACCAGGCTCAAGGTTGACTCAGCCTTTCATCCTTTCTAAAGTAGGTGAAATGAGGACCCAGTTTGTGGGGGCAATAAGATGACTTTGTATAAATATACAAAAGTATGAAGGCTATTGCTTAACGCATTGTAAGCCGCCCTGAGTCTCTGGAGAAGGGCGGCATATAAATCAAATTTAAAAAAAAAAAAAATGACACCCCTGACAGGCATCCTTAACCAGTTCTATATCTCCTTAATCAGTGGTGAAATTCAATTTTTTTACTACCAGTTCTGTGGGCGTGTCTTGGTGGGCATGGTGTGTGGCTTGGTGGGCGTGGCAGGGGAAGGATACTGCAAAATCCCCATTCCCACTCACCCCCCCCACTCCTGGGGGGAGGATATTGCAAAATCTTCATTCCCACCCCACTCGGGGGCCAGTCAGAGGTGGCATTTGCCGCTTCTCCTAACTACTCAAAATTTCCGCTACCGGCTCTTCAGAACCTGTCAGAACCTGCTGGATTTCACCTCTGCCCTTAATCTTGAAGATGAAACTCAAATACTTTGGCCACCTAATGAGAAGGAAGGTCTCACTGGAGAAGAGCCTAATGCAGGGCACGATTGAGGGCAAAAGAAGAACGGGACGACAGAGAATGAGGTGGCTGGATGGAGTCACTGAGGCAGTTGGTGTGAGCTTAAATGGACTCCAGAGGATGGTAGAGGACAGGAAGGCCTGGAGGAACGTTGTCCTTGGGCCGTGAAGGGTCGGACACGACTTCGCAACTAAGAACAACAAAGTTCAACAGAGCTTCAAAGCCTGCATTTACAGAGTTAATCTTTCTGTTATTTCGCTTCTCAAACTTCTTGGGAAATCTATTTTCTCAGCAGAGATGGTGGCTAATCATTAAGATCCACCACAGAAAAAAAAAAACCCAACAAAACAATGCAAAGATGTGAGGGAACAAAGACCTCTCCAATCTATTCAATTTTACAGTGCTAGAGGGAAGGCAAAAAAAAAGAGGAAAAAAAATATAACGGGGGTCCTACATTCTCAAGATTTCTCCCCCCCCCATCCCAATGTTTCAGATTCAATAGTACCCCTTGAAGTGGCTTGTTTTCATTGCTGTTGGATGAAAAACTCGACAGCTGGACATGTGCCACCCTAAGGAAATTCATGCTGGGTTTGGGTGAAGCGAGGGATATCTCATAGCAACTGGGATTGTTCTAAAGTAAAACATTGCCAAGTTGGGCCAGTAACTAATCATTCTTTTTTTTTTTTCTTGCCTCTTGGCAGTTTGCCATCTGCTCAGCATTATACGGTACCCAGGGGTGGGAGGGGAGCAGCAGCGAAAGGCGCTGGAAAGCTTAATCATTGAACCATGCAGAAGGATTGGCTTTACTTCAGCTCTGCTACTCCTCGGAGAAATGGCTGAGTGGTAGGAACCTGCTGGCTTCTCAGCATATCGGTTCCAGCTTTGCCCTCAGGAACTTGCTGTAAACGCCTAACTACTAGCAAACATGCTTGCAGTGCATCTTGTGGCCTTTTATTTCACAAAGCTGAAAGAAGATCAGATCAAAAAGGTAAGATTTGGTTGTGTTGATTCTTTGGGGCAAAACGGGAATGCTGCGGTCTGAGCGAACCTGTTGCTAATGCTAGTCGAAAGAGGGAGAGAGGGAGGAATTATTTTTTTTTAATTGTACAACCCTGTATATAATAGCTTTCATTTATTAATGTTATAATCCATCCAGCCTCACTGCCACTCTGGGTGGCTTACAACTTGAATAAATAAACTAAGAATTGCAATGCATATATGTTTTTTTAAAAAATCCAACAAGTTATGCATAAAATTCAGAAGTTATTAACTATTTATTTATTTATTTATTAAATTTTTATACCGCCCCCTCTCCCGAAGGACTCGGGGCGGTGAACAGCCACGATTAAAAAACATATAATATAAACATTAAAATACATTTAAAAGAAAATTAAATCCAAAATGGCTCCCCAATTTAAAACGCCTTACCCATAACCCTATAATTAAAACAAATTTAAAATTTCCACATTTAAAAGGGGGAAGATTTAGGCCAGGCCTAAAGATTCCCTGGTATAGGAGATGATTTAGTAACCTGACATTTTAGGGCGCGCTCGTATTTGCTTACTTATTCTATTACTTATGAAACAAGGTGAGCCTTAAACTACGCACACCAAATTTAGTGTGCCACTCATAAAGCCACATTCAAATATATGCTCTTTCTCTCAGCTGAAACTTATTTCATTCCATTTTATCCAGAAGCAACATACAGCCAAACAGCAGCAGCAATTCTCATGAAGCTGTGATAGAACTGTCCCCAATGTTTTGTGCAATAAATATCTTCTTTTTTTTAATGTGGGACAGAAGAGTTCAGTTCCTTTGGATTACTTCTCACATCTTCATCAATCAGTGTAATGTTTTCAGTCTTATATTTAAATGAATTGTTTACCTGAGATGAAAATAAATTAAGATTAGGACACGCCAATGAATCTCTTTCCATAGCATAGCTAAATGTCACAGCAATAAAGCTGGAGGCCCTTTCATCAAATGCCCTATAATTTTATTCAATGGGGGAAAAGTTCTACACTCCCTATTTATTATCCTGGAATCACATAATTAGAGGTAGAGTTGGGGCAACTGGATGGAGTCGAGTGTTATTCCAATCTGGGACTTCCGGGGTCTGTTCTTGCCCTTCGATAACTTACGGGAATGCTCCTCTGCCTGCTTCCACTCCACCCCCTTATCTTGTAAATCTTGCTGCCATTCCCACAACCATGAGAAGTTTGTCATGCAGACTTCCATCCTTCATAAAGGAAGCACTGAAGTCAGCGGTGGGATTCACATAGTTTTACCAGTCGTTCGCCTCGCATGCGCACACTTGCTTCGTGCACACGTACCTTCTACGCATGTGCCCAGCCTTCTGCGCATGCACTTTGCTCACGCATGCACCTTCTGCACATATGCCCGGCCTCGAAAACGTGGCTAAATAGGACATCTTTACGCTGGGAGGGTGGGATGGGCAGGCCCACCTGTGATTTCCATTAGCGGTTCACCCGAACCGATACGAACCGGCTGAATACCACCAGTGACTGAAATGAAGCAATTCTACCACCCGGAAAAATGAGTAAACCAATCAGTTGGAGGGGAAAGAGCTCTTCACCAAAGGCTCCCTCCGCCCCCCCCACCCCAGTGCAGTTAGCTTTGATCACTTATGCACTTACTTTTTAATTAATAATGATTTCTGGGTTTTTCTATACTATACTATACTATACTATACTATACTATACTATACTATACTAATGCTATGCTATGCTATGCTATGCTATGCTATGCTAGTACTAATACTAATACTATACTAATACTATAACTAATACTAATACTATATTATACTATACTAATACTAATGCTATATACTATACTATACTAATACTAATATTAATACTATACTAATACTATACTATACAATACTAATACTAATACTATAACTAATACTATAACTAATAATACTAATACTAATACTATACTATATTAATGCTATGCTATACTAATACTAATACTAATACTAATACTATAACTAATACTAATACTATACTAATACTTATACTTATACTAATACTAATACTAATACTAATACTATACTATACTAATACTATACTATACAATACTAATACTAAATACTAATACTAATACTATAACTAATACTAATACTAATACTAATACTAATACTAATACTAATACTAATACTAATACTAATACTATACTATACCGGTAGCGCTTGGTTCTGATGGTATCCACCTGAGCATTCTTAAGGGCTCAGGCATGACTTTGCTGACATCCTAATAGAAAATGCAACCGAGATCCTTAAATTGGCCTCAGTCCCAGTGGACTGGATGGTTGCTTATGAGACTAATTCTTCAAGAGGACCCCAAAAAGAAGAGATTCAACCAGTTGGGCCAAGTAGGTGGAAGTGGAAAGCTGAGGGGAATAACTAAGCACATTGTATACACTACAGGAACCAACCTTGCTTGTGGGAAACCTGCAAAGTCAATCTTGCTTATCAAGCATCTGCAACTCTTTTTTTTTTTATAGTGTCAGCAGACATGTGGATGAGGTGACCCCCCTATTGACACTGAATGTTTGAGAGGACTTTAAGAAAGTTCCACATCTAAGCAGGCCCAGGTCCTTTTGTTTTGCTAATCCAGTCACAAAGGAGAAGCAAAGAGTAGAAACAAATGGCAAATTTTCCCAGTGGAAGGAAGGAAGAAGTCAAGTAGGGGAGTCCTTGGTTCTCTCTGAGGGCGATCAGAAAGGTCGGCAGTTCGGCGGTTCGAATCCCTAGTCTTCTGCATGAGCAGGAGATTGGGCTAGATGACCTCCAAGGTCCCTTCCAACTCTGTTACTGTTACTATTACTGGACGAAGTAACAACTTCAGTGCTGAAGAGAAATTAAAAGAAAATTCAGAGAGCACCAAGGACCCCACAGCTAAAACTCTGAGCTACATTTATTCTTTTCTGTTGGCGAGATCCCTCAAAGAATCTGGCTTGGAGCCAGGGCTTTCTAACTTGTTCATAAAGGTTCTTCATTAGGGCCAGGAAGTAAATTGGCTGAGCTTGAAGATACAGTAAACTATTCAAAAGTGGTTATGAAGGGCTCATAATGGTTCTCTAAACTGAGGGAATGATCAAATGGCAAATACTGTTCACTTTTTTGGAATGTGAAGGGATGCGTGCAGTGGAGGGATTCAGAACTTTTTTCTACCAGTTCTATGGACATGGCTTGGTGGACGTGGCAGGGGAAGGATACTGCAAAATCTCCATTTCCACCCCACTCCAGGGGAAGGATACCGCAAAATCCCCATTCCCACTCCACTCTAGGGGAAGGATACTACAAAATCTCCATTCCCACCCCACCCCACTAACTTGCTTTCCAGTTCCGTTCTCCTGTGCAGGGCAACAAAAGAAGACCCAGCCAATCAGCTGGGACTCGATCAGCTGGGACTCGGGAGGCAGCCAATAGATCAGGGGCTGAGCCAGTCAGAGGTGGTATTTGCTGGTTCTCCAAAGTACTCAAAATTTCTGCTACCGGTTCGCTAGAACCGATCAGAACCGGCTGAATACCATCTCTGGATGCATGTTGGAACAAACCACCCTCTAACTACTTCACCTATATAACAATGGGGCTGAATGGTCAGTTACTATCAAGAAAAAGATGATGTGGTCATACTGAGTGATGGAGGATGCAAGTCTGTGAAAAACGTTAGTCCTTTGCAAAGGATCAATATGAAAATAACTGGAAATAATATTGTCATCATTGTAATGAGCGTATACAAATCTACAGTGCATTCACATCTAAAATACTGTTCTGCTACAGGTCTGGTCACCACATTTAAGTTGAGAACGCAACAGAGCCTAGCAAAGTGTATAAGAGGGTTAATCAGAATGATTAGGAGGCTTGAACAATTTCCTCTTGAGGAAAAGCTAGAATATTTGGGATTTTTTTCAGATGAGGAACAAAAAGGAAACTGATGAGAAACCGCTGAGATACTGTACATCTGGTGAAGCTAGTTGGCAAGGGTTTTAAAATAGAAGTTCTTCACACAATATGGAATTAAACAGTGAAATTCATTATCACAAGACATAATGATGGCTTAATTTGGACTTAGTTGGATGGTTTTATTTATTTTATTTATTTATTTTATTTTATTTCTATACCGCCCTTCTCCTGCGGGACTCAGGGCGGTATACAGCCGAGACAAAACATAGCATATTAAATTTAAAAACAGTTTAAAAAACAATTAAATAATTTTGCCCCAAAATTTAAAACAACCCAATTAAAACCAAATTCAATTAAAACTGAGAGGATGGGATCAAGCCAGCCCAGCTAGATGGAATAAGTGTGTTTTCAGGGCCCGACGAAAAGTCCGGAGGTCTGATATCGTGCGTATCTCAGGGGGTAGGTCATTCCAGAGGACAGGTGCTGCCACAGAGAAGGCTCTCGCCCTGGGGGTCGCCAGCCGGCACTGTCTGGCCGACGGCACCCTGAGGAGGCCCTCTCTGTGCGAGCGAACCGGTCGGTGGGAGGCTATTGGCAGCAGAAGGCAGAAGGCGGTCTCGCAAATACCCCGGCCCTAAGCCATGGAGCGCTTTAAAGGTGGTCACCAACACCTTGAAGCGCACCCGGAAGACCACAGGAAGCCAGTGCAGCTCGCGCAGGAGAGGTGTCATGTGAGCGTCCCGTCGCTCCCATAATCCCCCGCGCGGCCGCATTCTGGACTAACTGCAGCCTCCGGGTTCACCCCAAGGGGAGCCCCATGTAGAGAGCATTGCAGTAGTCCAGGCGGGAAGCCACGAGTGCTTGAGTGACCGTGCGTAGGGAGTCCCGATCCAGAAAGGGGCGCAACTGGCGTATCAGGCGAACCTGATAAAAAGCCCCCCTGGCCACGGCCGTCATATGCTCTTCTAAAGACAGACGTGCATTCAGGAGGATGCCTAAGTTGCGAGCCCTCTCTGTGGGGACCAATGATTCGCCCCCAATAGCCAGTGATGGCGCCAGCTGGCTATATCGGGACGCCGGAAGCCACAGCCACTCGGTCTTGGAAGGGTTGAGTCGGAGCCTGTTTCTCCCCATCCAGGCCCGCACGGCCTCCAGGCACTGGGACATCATTTCAAGGACATCCTTAGGGTGGCCTGGGGTGGAGATGTACAGCTGATTCCCAATGGTCCAAGGATTGGAGGTTGGGGACCCCTGCTCTGGGGACAATTTTATTAACCCCACTGACAGCAGCTGTGATAACTGGGAGTCACTATTGTAAGTTTACATTCCATAGTGTGCCAACCTGCATTTCCCCAGAGTTATTGGAGGACATTCAACAATGCCTCTAAGATCTAAAACCAAAATGCAGAATATGAATTTTAGTATGGCTGGACATTTTGTGGATAAAGCAATATTCCCAACCTATTGCTTTTCAGATGTGGAACTGAAACCTCCAAGCAAGTATGGACCAGTGCTGGCCAATCTGTTTTTTTTCCACAGTCCATCTAAGATTTCATCCTGTCCCAAATCTATATCATGGGTACCACATGAATCTAGCTCGGATCTTTAGAAGGAGCCTTCATTTTAGCATCTTTTCGTTTTAGCCTGAATATATCAGTAGTTCAAACATTATCAGATAGTCAGACAGAATTTTATTTATTAAGGTTAAGATGCAAACTAATTCTAGGAAAATTAAGATGTTTCAATTCTTTCCTCCCCGGTGTAGAATTTGCTTTGTACCGAAGATGGCTACTCACACTGAAGAGAAATTACACAAATGCCCTTTCCCAGTAGTATTAACCACTGGAGAACAAAGATGCTGCTGTAGAAGCATAATGAAGCTTGTCATTCATAACAATGAGTAACAAAGGGTCATTGTTGGGGCCAGTGTTTTCAATAATGTGTAAGCCAGGTCATCCTCTTCTTTGACCCCAATAAAGTTTATGAAGATGTCCGAGTTGATTGTCTTCCAAATTCCAGAATTTTGTAAAGTTTGACAGAACTACACATGCTAATACAGTTAACCAAACTTGAAGCCTACTCTTGATTTTATAGGACAAACCATTTATACTCAAAACACACTGACGATGTCTCCTCGTGTGGTGACGAAATGTTTGCAACCTAATTGCCAAACCCAGAGCACAAACGAACAGCCTCACTACCAACCCAAGCTACTAATATTCAAACACATTTCAATCATTTATATTATTTGGAAACCTAGATATTTTGTACCACTCCAGGAAATGTTTTTCTTCTGAAGTTAATTTTAATCAGTGAAAGTGATGTATGTGGATACAGAATTAGACCTCCACAGGGGTGGGCGTGGCCATGGTCGGCGTGGCCTAGTCGGCGTCCTGCACCACGGCGAGGTGTGTGTGCGTTTTTGCCCTCCCCGGGCTCTAGAGGCTTTCCTTGAGCCTCCAGGAGGGCA